GCCATGCGAGAACCCGAACGTGGGAGGTGGCCACTGCTGTGGAGGGGCAGACTGGCGCAGGCGAGGAGTTCCAGGCGACGCGAGGGACCGTTCTCTGAGGAAGACATTGCAAGGAGCAAGCAACAGAGGGAGATTGAGAAAGTAAATGTGTGTGTATGGATGTGTGTATTTATGTGTGTGTTTGTGCGTCTATCCGTGCATGCGCAGGAGTGTGTTGTGTGGGGAGGCCTAGGTGTAGCAGGCAGCATAGCACGCAGTTCAACAGAAGCGTTTGTGCAGGCAGGCAGCGAGCCAGCCCATTCATCATGACGGTGTGAGGCAGCGGCAGCAGTGCGCTGCTCCTGCTGCGTTCGCTTCTCCGGAGATAAATCAAATAGGGGGCTTTAGGCGGTTGCCGCAAGCACAGCGCTTTGGTGGGGTGCTAGTAGAGAAGTCAGAGGGTAAGGGCAGAGGCGTCTCCTACCGGGGTGCTTGATGGAGAAAACTGCGGTGTCGTTGCCTTCGTCTGAGGAGAGCGTGAGGCTGCAGCCTTCCTCCGAGCCACTGAGGTCGGTGCGGGGATCTATGAAAAGCAGCAGACGACGGCAGGGAAGGAAGGAGACAGACGCAAGGCTCTCTTGGTGGTGCCCATAGGGGTGTTTCGACTCTGCGCAATGCAAATCCAGCCGATGGTCAAAGGAGGCCCCCAGCTGCTGCAACACGAGGGGCCCCAGTGCATCCACCAGAGTCCCTTCGTCCCCGTCCGACACCATAGCACGGGCAAGGAGCTGCAGCAGCCGCAGCAACTGCTGCAGGTTGCTGCACGGGAGCTGCTGCAGCAAGGGAGACACTGCAAAAGGCGCACAAGGGGGGCCTGCAAGGCCCCCACGAGCCTCGAGGAGGTTTCCCACGCCGTCTTGGGTAGGCACTGGCATCAAAGTGGAGGCTCCTAAGTCTCGCGAGAGGAAGAATGACACAAAGGAAGGGGGGGGGCGCTGCGGTATCTGAGGATCTGTGGCTGCAGCCTCCAAACTCTCTTGCCAGACTCCTAAGCAACTCGAGATCAGCGTTCCCACCCGATGAGGCCCCCCCCCCCCAAAGCAAGGAGGCCCCAGCTCGCTGTAGCTCAGCTGCAGCAGCTTTAAGAACGCAGAGAGTCCGCCACCCCCCAAGACATCCAGACTCAGAGAGGGGCCCTCTGCAGACTGAAGCAGACGCCGCACTGCCTGGCGCACCTGAGCCATCCACAGTCAAAGTTTAGACACACGCAATACTGATCCCCTGAGCGCAGCACCTAAGCTGCACGGGAAGCACTTAGCAACAACGCGACATTTTTAGATGGCCTTCTTTTCTGCACCTGAAGGCAGGCAACGGCCCTCTCGAGCTTCTCCAGCAACGTGAGAAGGGCCTCTACGGGGGGATCTTCAGCAGAAACAGGAGCAGAAACAGGAGCAGAAGCAGAAGCAGAAGCTGCTGCTGCACGGAGGCCCCCTCGAGCTCTGGAAGATCCCGCAGTCAGACAGCCAAGAAGCGCATCCAAGCCGTGCAACGGTCTCCAAAGAGACCCCGCCTTGCACAGCACCGTCTGCGGCAGCCGTACGAGGCGTCGTGTGCCTGTATCCTCGTCTACAATCTCCAGAACTGCAGAGGGCTCCCCCCCCCATTGCCTGCTGCTGCAGCCTTTGCGGCTATTCCCAGCAGCAATCTGCAGCTCCTCGAGCCCTTCCACCTGCCACACAAAGCCGCAACGCCCTGCAAGACCCTCGAGCAGCAGCAGATCGCCTGAGGCTGAGTGTACAAGACCTTCAATTACACCAGGAGTGACGAGTCGGAAGCCTGCGCGTTTTGCTCTGTCAGTCGCCGATGAAGGCGGAAATGCAAGCAAAGCTTGCGAAGCGCGACGATCGGATGCTGCGTTCGGGCTGCTGCTGATGCGCCGCTCGCTTTCTCCGCATGCAGCTACCTGCAAGGCGCTCAGTGGTGCGAAGCTTTCTGCCTCCTCCCCAATATGAGCGGTTGTCGGAGTTTCAGCGGCTGCTGCTGCATCCAGCGCTGCTTCCGGTAGAAGCGCCAGTCCGTGAAGCAGAACGGCCGCGTCGGGATGTATGCGAACAAGGAGACCTGGCCTGAGATCTTTTGCGCTCAGAGGCTGCATTTCGCTAGAAGCACCGCTTGGCAGGAGCACCTGTCTATGCCAGTTTCCACCACAGTCTCCCACAGAAACACCCCCCAAGAACCCCCCCCTGGGGGGCTGCAACGCAGCGTAAAGCAGGTCGTCATACCACCTGGAGCTACGCAGGACTGCCGCAGCAAACTCATCGGACAGGCTGCTGTTGCTTGTGTTGCTTGTGTTGCCGCTACTACTTGTGCTGTTGCTTGTGTTGCTTGTGTTGCTGTTTCTTGTGTTGCTGTTGCTTGTGTTGCTTGTGTTGCTGTCGTCACAACTCGTACTAAAAGCCAGAAGTTCTTCTGCAATTTTTTCGCTGGCATCTTGCATGATGGCGTAGAGCGGCGGTAGAGGAGGTTCTTCGTCTCCCGAGAGCACATCCTCAGCGCATGCAGTATTGTTTCCCTCTCCGCTCGTCCTCCTGCTAGTAGCGTTCTTGTCGCTGCTACGCGCTTGCGCTCCGAGCTCCGCATCTTCTCCCTCTTGCTGCTGCTGTTGCTGCTCCTGTTGCTGCGCCTGTTGCTGATCCTGTTGCTGCTCCTCCTGTGCGTTTTCTTGAGCGTCCGCCTCTTCTAGGAAGCGTGTCTGCATGGCATCCAGCTCTGCAAGGCCGCTTGTAATAAGCCAGTCTGCGGCTGCTTGCATGTCGTCTCCTTGGAGCCTCAGCGCAGAGACACACAGTCCCAAAGGAAACAAGCCGCTTCCCATCATATCCCGAAGAGCCTCGGCGGCAGCGCGTCGCTGGAGAGCCTCTTCGCTCAGAGCTGTCACAGAAGCAGCCATCTGGTCACTGCTGACCCCTCCAAGGGGCCCCTGCCTCGTAGTCTGCAACGGCTGGGACGGAGGGGAACCTCCCGCTGAGGCACCTGCAACACAGCTACCCGCAGAGGCATTCGGGTAGGCACGCGCAGCGTCTGCAGCACGCGAGGCAGATCGAATCCAGCCTTCGTTGTCGCTGCCGCGGCTGCTGCTGGTGTGGGGTTCTTGAAGCGCCTCGTTGGCTCGAATGAAAGACAGGCCAAATTCCGCAAAGAGCTGCTGCAGTGCCACACTGTCTAGGGAGGATGCGAAGGAGTAGAGAAAGGGCGACTTTCCAAAGTTTGCTTGCAGACGCAGTTTAGCGCCTTCCGCCCCCGGTTCTGCAGCTGTCCACACGGCCGGACGGAAACAACCCTTTTTTACCCCTCTGAAGGCAACAACAGTAGCATTACTGCTGAGATCCTGGTGGGTGCAGTCTCTGCCTGGAGGCACAGACACAACGCTCTGCAGAATGCCGTTCTTAGTTACACTGATGAGGCCTTGTTTCGCATTCAGGAGAATCCCAACGGTGTCTCCGTATCCGAAGGGAGCCGTGGAGCCCGCATGCGCTGTGCTGGCAGTTTCGCCGTGGAGAAGGAGGCCGCTACTGCAGTAGAGGTAGGCGCTTCCGAGGCTGCAATCTGCGGGTTTAAGAACGCATCCATCGACGTGCAAACCAATGGCAAGCGGCGGGCAGACAGCGGAGGGGGCCATGGAGCGGCTGCACGCGCAGCAGCAGACACTGCAGCCCGTGCCTCGTTCCTGGGAGTTCGACTGCTCCTGCATCGGCTGCTGCGGATCTTCCTTCGGCGCTGCTGCTGCTGCTACTGTGTGTGTGTTTGCATGCGTCTCCAGCAAGGCGTTGCAGCAGCTGCCGCACTCCTGCTCCACCCCAACATGTACTTCAAAGTAATAGGCAGGGAGCGAAGTGGGGATGGCTCGGTTAGCCTGAGCGACCGCTTGCATTCTGCGGCAATCGGTGATCAGAGCTGCAGCGTGCTTTGCAGCTGCTTCTGCTTCTGCCTGTGCGGCGACAGCAGCAGCAGAGCTATCATCGGCGGTTCCTGGAGTGCGCTTTTTTGCTGCACCTGCTGCTGCTGCATGCATGTGGTTCTTGGCACAGCTCTCCCCGGTAGCAGCAGCCGCGCAGCTTCCGGGAGATTCCTGCAACGGCAGCAGACACGCTCCGTGCTGCTGCTGCTGCTGCTGTGCGTCGTCTTTGGGTTTACTGCAGGCAAAAGCCGCTGGATCTCTCGTCGCGCTCGCCTCATCGACACGCGCGTGCAGCCGGCTCGGCTGCTGGTAATGCAGGGGGGTGCGCCGCTGCAGCAGCACTTGCCAGTCTTCCGGGGGACAGACAAGCCCCTCAGCAGTGCGTCTTTCCCATGCAGAGGGCAGCAAGAAAGGGAGGCCTGTAAAGGGAGTGTAGGGAAACGCCGTTGCGGCTTGCTCGCGCAACAACAAGCGACTCTCTATGGCCAGAGAGCCCTCAAGGCGATCTCTTAGCAGCTGGCAAAGGCGGAGAGAGAGCGCCCTAAGCTCTTCGAGTCCGTCGAAGTTGGGCACAGCAATAGGACGCAGACACACCAGTTGAAGCGACTCCAGCAGCCGCCGCTGACGCAGCAGGAAAGCAGCAACCTGCCGATTCTGGAGCAGCTCACTGACTGCGGAGAGCGCCATTGTTCGCAGCTGCAGCACCAGCAGGGAGGCCACACGGCCAGCCGAAAGGCTCTCGAGTTGCCCTATCGCAGGTGCAGCTCTGATGCCTGCTTCGCGCTCTTCTGGGGTGTCTGTGGCACCAGCGCACGCCTCAGCGTCCTCCGCATGCAAGCCTTCTTCCGCCGCGATCGCCAGACTGGTGATCGCCTCCAGCAGCTCCTCATTAGGCAGTGCACAGGCGGCTCTGCCTGCGTCTCCCGCGAAATTTTCTGCTGCTGAGGGAGCCTCCAAGGGATCCCTGGATGGTCGAGTGTCTGCATGCGGCGCCCGCTGCAGGTTGCTGCGGCTCGAAGGCTGGTGACTCTCTGGCGCTTCCTGCTCTGCTGCTCCTCGCAACAACAATTCCGCAATCACATGGCCATCCGTGTCTAGAACGCTGGCTGTGGTGTCTGCGGTGAGACGTCTCAGCTCTAGCGCATGATCCTTGTCTCCCTCCCGCGTTCGAAGAAGGGCAACTCCCTCGTACTTGGAGAGCATCACAACTCTGCTGCTCTGCTGCTGTAGCATGTGGTGTTGCAGCAGCCCGCTGCAGTTCGCCGTATCTCCCTGCACGCAGCAGCCGACACGGAGGAATTCGGCAGCCCCTCCAACGACTGCGAGGGCCCCCAAAGCCTCGCATAGCGCTGCGTTCCACGGGGCAGAGGGCCCCCCCCCCCCCTCCGCATTGCGGGGTGTGCGTGTCAAGGCGGTTGTCGCGGCAGCACTAGCCGCGCTGCACGCTGCAATAAGCCTCGCATGTCTTTCAGCATGCGCGCGTGGGCACCGACAGGAGAGGGGGGAGGGGTGGGGGTCCTGCCGAAGAGGGGGGTAATAAGGATGGTGGTAGTGGTGGGGGTGGTGAAAAGGAGCGTGATGATACGCATGCGCGTGTTGCTGTTGTTGCTGTTGTTGTTGCTGTTGTTGCTGCTGTTGTTGGTGTTGTTGCTGCTGTTGCTCTATTTGCTGCTCTATTTGCTGCTCTTGTTGCTGCTGCTGCTGGCTTGTATAGAGCTGCGTACCCTGCTTGTCTGGAGAAAGCAACCCCAGGGACTGACAGGCGGGATATGCACGCGCAGCAGCACGCCGCCGAAGCTGCAACTCTAGAGCTACCAGCATTTGGTGCTGCAAGGGCGGCTGCACCTGTGCAGACGGCGGCTTGTCGAGCTGCAGCTGTTTCTGCGCGTACTCCGTGGCACCGTGCAGAAGCGCATGCGGACCCCTCCTGAGCAGCGTGCTGCTTTCCTTAAGCGCGAGACAGAGTCTTTGCCGAATCGAAGGAGCCCACCACTTGCGGCAGAGAAGCAGCTGCCGAAGGAGGCCCCTCAGCTCGAGGGCTAGAGCAGCTTTCTGACTGGCTGTGGAACCCTGCAAAAGCAGCCTTGACGGAAGGATGCTGCTATCGCCGGCACTCCGGCTGGGATGGGCGTCACAGCAAAGCAACATCTGGTGCAAGAGGGGGCTTTCCCAGTGTTTGCAAAGCTGCGCAAGCCCCGAAGAGCTTTCTTCCAGAGAAAAAGACATCGGGGATACCCAGAGGCGCGGCACTGTCTCCTTGCTGAGGCTTGCTCCTGACGGCGCAGTTACAAACTGATGCCGAGCCGCTGCAACAAGAGCATCTGGATTGCAGATCGCAAGACCGCAGCCAATAGCCGCTAAGAGGCTTTCTGCAACAAGCAATGCCGCGTTGCTTTGCTCCCCGCTGCTGGAGGCGCTCAAGGGGGAAAGGCCCCTCCACGGCTCACAGGGGGAAGCAGGAGCGCTGCTGAGCATCAGAGCCGCTGCTGCAGCCGCAGCCGTGGTGTCTGCAGCGCTTACTCCTTCCTCTTCTGCTGCAGCGATCTCATACCCAGTGTCTGGAACCGGAGCAGGGCTGCATGAGGCCGAGAGAGACGTCGGGTGGGGCCCCCCGTGACAACGCTGCAGTCGCAGCTGCTGCTGATAGTGCTGCTGCTGCTGAGGCATCCAGCCTCCTGGCGGCTCCAGGAAGTGACAGCCACGCCCGTCTGTCGCGGCAGTAGCTGCCTTGGCAAGAACCTCCCTCAAAGCTCTCGAAGAATTCGCGTATCCCTCCGAAAGGGCCTCCAAAGCAGGGCGCACAAAGTGAGCCGCTTGCTGCGGGCTGCTGAGAGGCAGCAGCAGCCGGAGCAGCTGCACAGCGCGTCTCTGCAGCCTTGGTGTACCGTCAGCGAGCATCAGAGACACTGAGCCAAGGAGGCCCTCGGATTCCAGCACTGCGCGGAGGGCAGTGTGCCATGAGGTGTGTGCGGAGAAGCTCATTTCATCAGCGCCCCTCGCACCACTGCCGTAAACATCAAACACGCTGCACATCCGGCACGCTGCAGAGCCCCCCTGTGCGCCGCCATTGCCGCCGCGGAGGCTTGGCGAGGACGCCCAGGGGGTACCGGTGGCAACGCAGCCAGAAGCAGCGGCTGTAGCTGCTGCCGCCGCGGAGGCAGCGAGATAGGGCGGCTGCAGGCGGAGACTTGTCAGATTCCAAACAAGGGCCTTGGAAAGGAGAACGCTGAGGAGGGAAGCCAGGAGATGAGCAGCTGACTCCCACGCCAAGAAAGCCGTCAGTCCTCCTCCTCCCACCACTGGCTGTTGTTGCTGCTGATAAGGCTGCTGGCAGTGCTCGAGATGCGGGGGAGACTCAGGGGGAGCGCGCTTCGCTACTGCCGCTTGGAGGGTCGCAATAAGCAACAAATCAGCGCAGTAGCGCATCGCTGCCAGGCTGGCGTTCGGTCCTGCTGCTGCGACACGGAGAGAGACGATCATCATCAACAGCAACTTGTGGTATTTTGGAGGGCGTAACAGCGGCTGCTGGGGGGACTGTAGTAGAGACTGCAACGAAAGGGCCCCGTAAAAAGCCGCATCCAGGAGGCCCACCTTTTGAAGCTGCGTAGCCTCGCTTTCTTCCAGAGATACAGCCCCCAACACCGAGAGTGCTGTGTGTTGCACGCTGAGGCAAGGCTGCTGCGTTACTCTAAGTGCACGGGAAGATGCAGGAGCAGCAGCAGCAGGAGAGGGAGCCGATATCGCGGCAGCAGCAGAAGCAGCAGCGGCACCACCACTCCCGGAGACGGCGGATGCGCCTGGCACGGCAGTATCGAGAAGCACATAGTCCAAGGGAGTCGGAGACATTGCGAAGCGGTCTCTTTGAGCGGTAGCAAGTCTCGGCGTGCCTTGGAGGGGCTGCATCTCCTGCCGCTGGAGGTGCCACTGGGGGGCAGCCATAGAAACGGCAACTGCTACACTATGGCAATACGAAATACGTAGCTGCTTCTCAAGTTGCAGCCCGCAACCCCTAGTTCCCAGAGAGACATCCGCTTCTTGAGGAGTCTCGGCGTCGTTGCGGCTCTCTCCACCGTCTCCGTTGGGGCAGAATTCGTAAGCTTTGAAGAGGGGGTATCTCGGGAGGCAAGGACCTTCGGCGCTTTTGCTGCCGTGCCTGCTGCTGCTGCCGTCGTTTTCTTCGCGCCAGCGTGGGTAGGGGGAAGTCGCCAGCGGGGGCCCCTCAACGGGCCGGAGCACCCACGACCGCACGGGCACTCCAAGGGGCCCCTCAGCGCCAAGCGAGCGAAGCACCTTCAGCAGCAAACATATTGGGAAAGGCGATTGCAGAGCGAGCAGAGCATGCTGTAGCAAGTCAAGCCCCTGAAGTCTGCCTTCTGCTCTTAGCCGACGCTGTCGGAGCACTGCAGTAAGGCAGCTGAAATCATCTAAGGGCCCTGCGGGAGAGGCCGCTGCTGCTGCGGCTTCGTCTTCAGCTGCAGCTGCAGTAGCCGCGGCTGCAGCTGCCGCAGCCATCGCTGGTGCTGCTGCTTCAGCTGCTGTTCGGGAAGTACAGCCGGACGGATCGTGCGACTCAGGCTGCTGCTTCAGCTGCTGCTGCTGCGGACTGCAGATCTGCAGGGCGCCTGGGAGAGCACCCCCTTCTCTTGGGGGTGACTGATCCGCTAGAGCTCCTTGTGCAGCTGTATCGACTGCTGCAGCATTGCCGCTCGAGCATGCCACTTGCTCCGGGTACAGCTCTACTGCCGAAATAAGAGTACTCGCAGCAGCCGTTACCTCCCGCACCATTGCAGCTGCGGCCTCTCCTGCTGCCGACCCTATACAGTAAACCAAAACATTCTGCTTATGAGGCACCGACTGCAAGGGGCCCCCGTTGCTTGCGAGGGAGCCCTCATCAACAGTCAGAGGATCTGCGACAGCCGTCGGCCCCGCAGCAGCTGTAGCGGCCCTTGCTGCTGCAGTGCATGCAGCCTTCACCGCGGCAGCAGCCGAACTCGCCGCGGCTCCAGCGCACGACATGAGAAGGCGCTTCTCCGACTCTGTGAAGTCGGTGCTGCCTTGCGAGGTAAAAGCAGCAGCAGCTGCTGCTGCCCGCACAGCTCTGCAGGCTGCTGCAAGAGCTCGTGCTGCAGTTGGCGCCAGCGCTGGGGGAGCCGCAAAAAATACAGCAGCGACGCCTTGGGCAATACTGCGGGCTGCCGCTTCTGACTCCTGTTGATCCTGTTTCTGCCTTTTTTGCAGCTCTGTCGCTACATGCAACCTGTTGATGCGCTGCCAAAGAGCAAACTGCTTTTTACAACGGCGAAGACGCGCATATTTAGATGCAGCAGATGGACCCAAAGCTCGCATCGCTTCTGTTTCGGCCGTTGTAGAGAGTCTGCTGCAAGGCGTGTGCGGCGTCTTCGCAGCCAGAAACGCCCTCCTGCCGTCAGAAGTCGCCACCAACAACAGCACTCTTGCCAGAGCTCGAGGGCTATACTCCTCCTCCTCTTCCTCCTCTTCTGCCTGTGAGTCCTCCTCTCCCTCAGGAGAAGGATGAACTGCTGCTGCGTATACGCTGGAGGCACCGAAGTGAGCGGAGAGAGAGGTGGAGGCACGGGAAGGAAGTCCATTCAAGGCCAAAGGGCAGGGGAGAGCTTCAGCTTCCGTGCAGCGTTGCTGAAGACTGGCAGTGCTGCAGGTGCTGCTGAAATGCGTCAGCGTGCTGCTCACTTGATGTGGCAGGTCACTACTACTACTACTGCTGCTGCTGCTGCTGCTTTGAGTAATGCTGCACAAGTCTGCATCCTGCAGCCCCTTGGAGAACTGCATCCCTTCGCTCAAAGCACTAGAAGCGGCGGCTGCTGTTGAACTGCCCGCACGGTGCAATCCCGGTGCAATCAGGCTATGTGGCAATAAGCGTCGCTTGGCCTTTTCCCTCGGGAGTCGAGAAAAGGGCCGCAGGCGCGTTATGAGGGCAGCCTTACTTAGGAGTTGTGCCCCCCAAAAGGAATAACACGATAGCGTCTGTTGCTGCTGTAGTTCCTGCTGCAGCCTTTGACGCTGCTCTGAGGTAGCATCGACGGGGAGTGCCGCAAGGTCCCTTCGGATGGCATCTGCAGCAACAACGCACCGCTGCCTTTCCGCCACTACCCTCTGCCTCAGCGTGCGTCCTGCCCACCACACAAACACAGGTGCAGCAAACTCCGGTCTGTCCGCTACCCATGCAGCGTGCCGCTTCACGCAGGCTTCCCAGTTGCTGCTGTTGCGAAGGGTGCTGCTGTTGGGACTGCTGCTGTTTTGTCTGTCGGCTTCCACATTTAAAAGCTCAGGACCCCGTTGCAGCAAAGACTGCAGCAATGCCACCAGAAGTCTGTGCATGCGCAGGTGGAGCACTAAGCAGCAGCAGTAGGCCTTTATGGCCTTCTGCATGTGGCACCCCCCCACAGCCTCGCTGAGAACGACCCCTCCCGAAATTCTGCTTAGAGGCCCTGCATCCCTTAGGGCCCCCCGTCTGCTTGCTACGGCTGCTGCGGCTTCCAAAACGCGCGTCAAGAGCCTTCCAAGAATGCCTTCTTCCCATAACACGTAGCAAATGTTTTCGGGGCAGAAAGAGAGCCGCTGCAGGTCTTCCCTCCAAGGAGCCGCTAGATCCGTTGGCAGTCGTGGAAAGTCGTAAAGCGGGCTTTTCTTGCATCTTGCTCCCGCGCCTGCTACCGCTGCTCCGGAGGCGTAAGCCTGTCTAAAAGAAACGTCTGCTGGCTGCTTGTCCTCCGCAGCATGCGGTGCGGCATTGCACGGGAGGCTCTCTCTCTCTTCATATTGGCGCAAAAGGCGTCCCTGCGTCTGGATCGAATCCCTTTCAAGAACGTTTCGAGGCAACCCTGCAAGCTGTTTTGTGCTGCCCGTTCCAGGATGCGCCAGACCAAAAGCTGCTTGCGTTTTGCGTTGACACCAGCCATCAGCACCGGCTCCTACAGGTACTTCTGGGGGCAGAGTTTGAGCATTTTCTGCCCGCAAGGCGTCCTGTGCATGCGTCAAGGCCCCATGCGCTGCACATGAGGCCTCCACAGATTCCAGAAACAGATCCTTTTCGTGTTCTTGTCGGTGCTGCTGCAGAGGCGAAACGTGCTGCGGCTTCCCCTCATGCACTTGTTCGACGTCTTTTCCTGGAGCTAAGCGCTTCGTATTTTGTCTGTCATGGCCTGGAGAGCCTTGCCACGGCTGCCACACGTTCTGAGGATCGCCTGTCAACGCTTTCACCGCCTCCCCGCATCTCAGGAGTCTTTGCGTCCCCTTGAGACGGGCAAGCCTCCGCACGCAAGGAGGCCTTTCTCTTTTGTAGCCCCCAGCAAAGAGCAGAGAGCTGAGCGCCCCACAGAGCTGCGCCTCATAGGCTGCCGCGGGTGGACCTCTCAGCAAGGCTGCCGCCGCTCCCGCCATTCCCGCAGCACAGGCTGCGAGAAACTCGACGAGCAGAGGGGGGTCCCCCCCCTGCTCCTGAGGAGAGGCACGAGGCAAGCAAGCCGACGAAGACGGCTGCTGGGGGGGGGCGTTGTCACTGCCGCGAGGATGCAGCGTCAGGGGACCTCCCGCCTTGGGGGGCATGTTCGCTGCCGCAGCGTCTTCCCTCGAAGCGTGATGCCAGTCCTCCAAGTTGCCACCCTCCCTCCCGCGAGTGCAGATTGAGCTTTGCGCTTTGGCTGCTGCAGCCGCAGCCTCTGCGACGCCTGCTGGAATCGCCCATTGCTGGCCTAAACAGTAAACCTTGAAACCCCAGAGGGATCGTTTAGTCCTCTGTCGGTAGGCGTTGTAGGTGAGGGGTTTCTCAGTCACCGTAAAGAAGAAGGTCATGGCTGCAGTCTGCAACACGAGAGGCTCGCGCGGCCAGGAGACTTTCTTGGTCTGGGAAGGAGGCTCAAGAAGACCTCCCTCGTCCTCCGAACTGTCTCCATACGGCCCGGCGAGAAGGCACGCGTGAGGCACCGATCCAGGGGGGCAGCGCCAGAGGCCGCTGTATATCTGCAGCAGCGGCAGCAGACAGGCAGCAACAGAGGCATCACGCGGATGCTCCTGCAAGGCGAAGTTGCCTCCGCAGAAAGCATGGACGGAAGGTGCGCAAACAAGCTGCACTCCGGCGTAGAGAGACATGACACGAGCTCCAACGTAGTCGCAGACTGTGTGTGAAAGCGGTGAGCAAGAAGGAGGAATAGGCTGCTAGAAGCACAAAACCGCATTTGAACCACGTGCGCGAGCTGTGGGAAAAACTTGAGAGAGCGGAGAGCAGAAGGCCGTGCAAGAGAAGAGCGAAAAGCCATGGCAGAGCATCTAGAGAGTGGGATCAAATAGATGGGAGGCGTTAGGGAAGTCAGGATGGATACGTTCATAGCGGAAGAGGGCAGATCATGAAAGCAGAATGCAAAAAGGCACGAAAAGCTGTAAGTAAACTGACGGTTAGCGTGTCGTGGGGGCCTTCCGTCTCAGACTTGGGGTCGAACAGGAGTATCACGTGAGTTGCGGAAGGGAATGACACATGGTAAACGTAGAAAAAGTGCTCCCCGTGCCTCCGAGAAAGCCGAACGCCTCTGCTGCTTGCCCATGCGGCGGCGGCCTCCTCAGCACCAGCAGCATGCAAGCGACTGTATGGATGCGGTGTTTCCACGACCCTTAGAAACGGCTGTAACGGTGGCTGTGGCAAGAACCCTGCAGGCGAAGCACGCAAGAAGGCCAGACTCTTTGATCAGCAGTAGTAACACGCTTCAAAGCGGCGCTGCCGCTCATCAGGCTCTCACTTCATGGTAGCCCCCCCAAAACCAAGCAGGACGGAGGGAGAGAGGCCACTCTCTAGCAGGAGCGAAGAGGCTAGCTAGCACGTTGCGTGTTGTCGGTGTTTTAGTAAAGAGGCACCTGACTGGCAGCTGTTCTGCTGTTCCTCCAGTGCGTTATCATGTTGATGCTGCCGTTGATCGTCGCTGCTCCCGCTGATGGCTTCAACGAGCTGCTCTAATTTGGGGTGTGCATACACCGCAGCATCAGCCGCGAGCAGCAGCCCATAGAGCTCTGCTGCTACGTTCTGCTGCAACCGACCGAGCAACGGATTCTCCGCAACTACTGCGAGGCCATAACACGTCGGTATTGCCACGAAGTCGATTAAGGTATTCTCTAGGTTCGGAAGGCCTTCGCAGCACGTCGCCATCTGGTGCTGCTTCTGTATGGAAACTCTGCGCTCTCCTGCTTCCCTAATAGACACAAGACAGGGTTTTAGGGCAGCTGCAAGCGCCGCAACGAACCGCTGCAACTGAACTACCGGAGTGCTGTATCTGCTACTGCAGAGTGCTGCAGCAAAGAGGAGCCTCAGAGCGATGCGCTGCAGCAGCACACAAACGCTTCGTCCTGTGCCCTCGCTGACGAAACGCAGGTCTCGACATCCACTCAAACTCCTTGCGTTACTCTGGGATTCGATTTCCTGCCTTTTTGCTGATGCACTGACACGTTCGCCCAGTTGCGTTTTAGGGTTCCTCCGCTTTTGTTTTGCACCTTGAGCATCACCACCCTCGGGCTTTAGGCCTTGCCTTCGCTGCGAAGGGCAGGAATACCGTTCACTACTCGCAACAGCGACACCCTCCTCTTTAAAGCCTCTGAGCTGAAGGTTCTCCGTGCTCTCTCCGGAGATGCAGTGTCTGTCTTTGCTTCCAAGTCGCAGCGACACCGCCGATCCATCTCCTGCTGCTCCCTCTGCGGGTGCTGCTGCTTCGTCCGCTGCTGTTGCTCCTACGCACGGAGTTCCCCCCCTGTCTCGTTTGGGAGGCAGCCAATCGCTAGGCCTGTGAGCCACCACTGAGCGCTCTTCAGGACGCCTGGTGAATGAGCTGCTGCCCCTTTTGCGGCTACCCTCATGGCTGCCTGAGCCTCCCGTTTCAGAGGGCGCAGGGATGCCCCTTAGCGCGTCAGGAGGTCCAGCGGTGGGGGATTTTTCTGCTGTTGCCTGTGATGTTGCTGTTGTGTGGGCCGCTGGTGTGCGTGCCGCCGCAAGGGCTTTCCTCGCAGTACCGGATCTCAGGCAAATCCGGTGCTGCAGTAAGTGCTGCTGTGCAACGTGCAGCAGCAGTCGCAGTAAGGAGCGCGAGCACCTGAAGCCGTCCTGGGGGTCTTGCCAGCCCTCAGAAGGATTCTCTTGGCTATCCGGCCCTGTGCACCTGGTCAAGCTGCAATGCGTTGCAGTGAAAGCGGTGGCAGGCGTAGCGTCACGAGATGCATTCCTTTGAGCGGCGCTGGTGGTTAGTGAGACCGAGTTTGCAGCGGGCAGTGGGCTGGCAGTAGGTCTTTCTCCAGGGTGTTCGTGGGGAGGGAGGCAACGCGCTATAGAAGTCTGGACGTCAGAAGCCTCAGCAGGAGCAGCTTGCCCCCGGGAGTTCCTGCGTTCTGCTGCACTTTCCCCGCCCTCGCTGAGCCTCTGTTGCCTGGTGTCGGCGTCGTGAATAATTCCTTCGGGGGAAGCGGTGTAGCCGCAGGGGCGGTAGCAGGTGCTCGCTTCGGGCAAACGCTCTCTCTCAGGGGCAGTGCGAGGGCCTTTCTCTGGGGGTGGAAAAGCGTCGTTAGATCCGCAGAGCCTCGCATAGGGGAGGTCAAGGTCAGGCAGATCGGATACACGCTGCAGCAAGAATTGCAAGAGCTCTGGGCTGCCACCCTCGGCAGAAAAGACATCTACGAGCACTTGAGCGCGACGCACGCGACGGAGAGCTTCTCGGGCTTGTGCTTGATCTAATTCTACTAGGCCACCACTGGTGCTGCTGCTCTTGCCGCTACAGCTGGTGGCTGCAGCTGCTGCTTGCGGGTTTGGCGAGTAGTGCATCACTGTAGGGGCATTCCAGAAAAAGCGGCGCTCTCTCTGATCACAGCCCATGAAGCGACAAGTGCCACACAGGGGGTGAATACAAATACCACATGACGGCATACGCACACCACCCTATTTGAGTTTAGTCTCTATGCGCACATGATTTAATGAAAAAAGAAGATTGCAAGGCCTATAGTTCAGCTCTTAAAGCGGAAAAAGATTGACAAACCTACCTGGCCTTTGCGAAGCACCGCGTCAATGGCCTCTCTGAAAACGCAACACTTCAGGGCAGTCGCCCCCTCCAGCAACACGGGGTTCCGCTGCAGTTCTCCATCGCACATCCACCGGAGCTTCTTGTACGACGACTTGATAGCACGCCTCTGAACTTTATCATTCTTGTCACTAGTAGGGGTGGAGGTTGTTGCTGTTTTATGGTGCAGCTTTGTATCTTCAGCGGCAACTGAAGCAGCAACTGGCGTTTCGTCCGTGAGGCCAGCAGGTGCCGGCGATCCAGTGTCTCCTCCAACGGTAGGATCCGCAGATGCTGCACACGAAGCAGCTGCGGCAGCTGCTTCTGCTGCCGCTGCCTCATCGGGGTCTATGAGTCCCCCTAGATCCAGCAGCAGGTCGTCAACCTGTCTGTACACCCGCGTGAGTCTCTCCACATGTCGACTAACACCCTTAGGAGTTAGAGCTGCCTGTTGCGCGGCGTGTTTCGCGGCTAAAGCCACAACAGGAGCAGAGAAGGTGCAGCAACGCGACGCCTCCAAGGAAACAAACAGGTCCTCATCGTACTGGGCAGTCTTGTCCAAATCAGCAGCCGAATAAAAAGCACCAACCGGAGCATACCCGCTTGCAGTGAATGAAATTCTGCGTACGGGGATCGCATGAGGTCCCTCTGACGACGCATTTTCCCCGTCAGCTCCTTGGAAGCCGCTGTGGGAGTGCAGGAGCTCGTCTGCTGTCTCAGCTGTATCCTGTGGAGGGGATATCTGGCGGATGCCCGCTCCACCGGGTGTCTCCTCTGTGGGGCTTTGCATTTGGCCTTTCACTCCATGAGTGCTGTGTCGCTCTCCCTTCTTGGACGTGAGGAGTTGGACCTGATTGCCAGGAATTCAGGAACTTGGAGCCGGAGGGCTCGGCAAAGAGCAGTGGAACGTGCTGAGGGTTCGTACACGGCACTCTGCGCTGCTCAGTTGGCGGTGTAAATTGCGTCGCTATGAGCGCGATAGAGGATTCTGCTGCAAGCAAGGAGGCCCTGGCCTCCACCAGATGAAGGGATGGGCTTTGGGGGTGACCCTGGCAAGGGGCAGGCAACTGGACTAGAAGGTTTGCGCCTTTCTGTGGTTTACGGAGAAAAAAACACTGATATTTTACCTTATTGACTGTGTGGAAGCAGCAGAGAGCCAGAAGGGCTACTGGACTGCCGTAACCCAAGGCCTGTAGCTCTTGAGGTAGATACATATACACGCACCACCCCGTGGTTTGGGCGAGTACATACGTGAAGAGGGGGGTGATGCAGGGGAGTTCGTTGCATCTATTTCGGAGCAACAAAAGGAATAGAGCAATATTTGAGCCTATGGGACAACTCTAGAGCGAAGCAAACCAAGAAACCGGGAGAATCACAACCTTCAGTGTACTGTGGGCCCCTCGTGCAAGCTGTCGGTGACCACTGCGGACAGACGGCTGCTGGGGGCAAAGCTCCTCTTTGTTCCTTCCTTCTTCTTCCACGAGCTACGGCAATGTCCTTTGTGGTTTTCTGCTTCTCATGACACAACTATTGAGTTTGTTCCGACCCTTTAATCAGAAACAAAGTCGGATGATTCGACGCGGTGGATATATCCGAACGCCGACATAGATGATACCCGACTGCACGACAGCAAAAATAACCATATTGAGACCTTCGAAACCCGATCCAAATTTCTATTTTCGTTTTACAGTCTGTTAAGCGAATTCGAAGTCGGATAAACACACACTTCCTTCAGCAGATAATGCCACTAAGAAGGCCTGGCAAGCAGAGCCGCACACTGTGGACATCCTTAAAGTTTTAAAATGAACACGTGTCTCCGTTTATTCATTTACATCACAAAGCATAGAAACTGTAAGCGCCACAGTGGAGAGGGGCTGTTTTGTTTTCAATACGACTAGCATATTGCAGAGGAAGATCCAAATCGTCTTCTACGGTAGGGGCGCGGTGTGTAGAAACGTTTGAGAACAAGGCTTGTACCTTTTAGTGCTGAACACCAAATAGCAAATGGAAGCGAAGACGATTACACGGCTTCACGCAAAACCGCTCTTTGTTTTGTTTCAATGACGTACGCCGTTGGGCCGGTGAGATCTGGCCTCGCTTAGACAAGAAGAATGAAAGCACGTATATTTGTGGCTACTGGCCCTCCCTTATTTTCTCATCAGTGCCAAACCTCAGCGACGTCTGCTCTGTTGGTTTGCTCCACCGTATCGGTACACGGAAAACCTCCTACACTCCACTTACGCCATTAGATGACTTCCTTTATCTAAAGAACGAGTCTATACCTTCCCTCGAGGACTGTGCAGGGGATATGCACTGAAAATCAGAAATTTCTGTCCTACTCATGAGGCAAACGACCCATGTTCCCTTACTAAGCCTGAATCTAAGAGTATGGCGATTCATCGAAAGTCTCCGCAAGCAGACACTTAAATCCAGACCTAACAGCTGCACAATAAACTTTCTTGAATATTTCTTCAAATAACTTCGTGTCTTCCCTGCTCTCACCCCTTAGGATTCCCACCAAGGGGAAAGAGAGCCAGCTTGGGTGAGCCTATGTGTACTTTCTAAGCACCCTGAGCATTCACAGCTAGTTCATATTGCACCTGGCACCCACAGAGAACGCTGCATCTTATTGCATCGACTTAAAATCGCTATACACAATTGAGATACGGGAATAGGCAAAACCAAGGAAATATTCCTTGCTCGCTCTCACTGAAGTACAACTAGTGCGAGAAAAAGTGTTAGAGTGCTACTCAGCCCGATACGAAGATATCAGAAATTTGCTCTATTCACCGCGTTTACGAGTTCGAAATAGAAAGTTCAAGCTGCGCGACATTTACGACAAACACCTGAGGTAATACCTCCGCAGACTGATCGGGCTAGTCTGCATGGCTTTACAAGTGTGCGACATGAAAGCGTACTCCCTTGCTCCCCTTAGCGGAGGTCCAAGCAGTACCTTGTTGGCACATGGCCCGGCCCTGCTTGGTGTAGCAGTTCCTTCCTTGGTTCATTCAGGAGAGGGTGCCGCAAACCTTGAGAGCTCATTCACTTTTTAAAATTGTTAGGCAATTAAAAAAGAAACTTGTGTTCGCGACGAAATCTCCGGAAATGCTGGATCCCTAGAACGGTCTAGGATGGCGGCAACGCTGTGTAAGCAGACAATTGCTGCACCCATATGAGGTGTCCAGGTCTCTCCTTCATACTGACGCAATGCGACTAGCCACACAGCTGAGGGGACGGTTGGTAGCTCTCCAATCCTCCGAGCTTCATAAAATTGGAAGGCTTCAAAATGGAATATGAACAATCCTTCTACGCGTCCAGGTGGGACCCGTGAGACCATACGCCGCTCCGGATGCGGAGCCCTGAGGCGTTTCGCCCCACTCCTTATGAGAATGCAGAGGGTGGCCTGCTGCAAGCGAAGCAAAAGGAACTACTACCGTGGTAATTATACGCAGCTCTGACAGCAGAGCACCGCGGGTGCGGCTGACTCGTCCCTATTAAATTAGAGTTCTGGGCCGGTAGGCGGTTGGAGAAGATCCGAAGATGTCATCCCAACCCCAAGACTTTTTCGAATTCGCTCACAGTTTTGCTGAGGCGAGGCACCAGTATAATCTGCTGCAAATTTCCTGTCCCTTATTATTGGGTGCTTTTGGCGATGAATTTGCTAATGGCGCTGTTTTTACCGCACCTCCTGCAATTGCCGTCTTTGACTCTTGCTTCAAGTAAAAAAGATAACTTGCTCTGGATTACTAACAGGCACAAATCTATTTGTTGTCAGCAGTCCACCAGTCGAAATCCGCTGCAAGAGCTGCCACCCCTTCGGCGGGCCGCAACCCCGGCAGCCTACTCTCCTTTCGTGTGAGCGCCCCTGCAGGCGGTCCCCCTGGAGTATATAAGATATGCAATTTGAAACAGCCAGAAGAAGCCCAGAAAGCACACAGAAGAACCGAATATCTTCACCAGTACAGGCGTCCTGGGATTGAGAACGAGGCTCAGCGTAATGCAAGGACCGGCGATGGCCCTCGCTACGGCAAAGATTGATGCAAACGTCACTTCCATTATGCGATGTAGACGATCAAAAGAGACCCCACAAATACCCTGCGGAACAGGAACCTCTGGCAGCTCCTTTGATGTCTTAAAGGCCCCTCCATTGCACTCCTGCCCCTGTCCCTGCTCTGCGGCCTTCTGCTTAGCAAAAAGAGTGGCGTAGTGGCGGGCAAAGTAGCGCAAATGGAGCATCGGGGTGCTGCACTCGCCTATAGTAAGACCAGCAAGGAGCTCCGCGCCAGACATAGAGCGCTGAAAGGCAAAAAGAATGGCACCGAGCCCTGCGACGTGGTGCAGAAAGGTTGGGGGATCCCACTCTATAAGGACATACACTGTGTCGTAGAGGAAGTACGAGAGAGAAAAAAGCAATAACGGTCGCTGTAGAACCGTCATTGAAGCTCCGAAATACGTGGGATCATCAGCTGAACGGAATAGCGCCCTCTCCTGGTATAACACGCCGCAACCCCACACAAACACTATTGTACTGTGTAATATGGAGCATATCCTATTGATGCCGTGATGGGGCCACGCTTTCCGCTGAAACAACGGCAGCCAGCCAGACAAGGGAGAATCCTGAATTTGCCGCAGCACTACGTGCAAAAACAAGTGCACTCCGAAGAAAAAGCAACTAGCCGGGAGGGCCCACGGAGCGCAGCTGGAGAGGCGCGGGAGGCCCTCAACCAGAGCAGCAGTCACACGGTAGAAGGTCCAAGCAGCGGTCATTTTTCAACGACCTCCGAATGTAAAATGGGTTTGAATAGACTTGGCAACGACTCGAGAGGAAGCTCTCGGCGAAAAAACACCTATGGACGAAACAAGACCTCACCCATGGAGGCAGAGATCCACAAAGCAGAGAGTCGCCTCACGGGAAGCCCTTACGCACGACCCGATACAGGCAAAGGTGCTTCAAGGAGACGAGAACAAAACTGAAATCACACGGAATGCCAAGAATTCATGAACCTCCCCACCATAACCTGGCTGAGGAAAACACGATGGACGAAAAGATGCAGAGGCCCATGCTTCATTCAAAAAATAGAACAGCTTTCAGCCATTTGAAATATGTCTTGCGCCTTTACGTTGTCGACCACAGCAATGCAACGACTGCTCTCTTCCCTGGGTAGTCCACGAGCATTCCTTGGTACTAGGCACAGCACTGGCGGCCCCCCCTGCTGCTTAAAAGGACACCCGAGTGCCCTCCAACAAGCAATCCACTCAAACGTAATACTATTAAATTTAATGACAAGTCAACGTGACCGGCAACTTTTTGTACTCCTGCTGTAGATCGTAGCTCCAAACAGTCCTCAGGGGCCCCACTCGAGTTATTGGAGCCAGCGGGGGCCCCACGGAGCCACAAGTAGTCCTCCACATTTCAACCATAATTTTTGGCTTTACCCATTCTTCTGACGGAAATATATGTCGAGAATTTTCTTTCTTTGGTACTCACGGAACTTTGGTAGGTACAGTCGACGAGGATCCGGAGATTTGGGAAAACCCGCTCCACAGGATGCTGAGAAGGTAGCGAAAACACTGAGGGCCACCTCTGCATCGACGGGTGTTTGCGGGTCCCAGTGCACGAGGAACTACTCGGGGACTTCTTCCAGTAGAAGACCCTTGGAATCACCGCGAAGGCGCAGGGTTCCTCTGTTGAGGCCCCTCAACAGAGAGGCCCCTCATACGGGGCAGTGATTAGGAGGCCTTCAGCGGCTGCTCTTCCTCTGAAACAGCACGCAGCATAGCAGGAAATGATGGCGACTGCTGACGCCGCCTCGCTGCTGGACGAGGCCATCTTCGGTGATGTCTCTGAGGTGTGCCCTCTCAGCATACCAAAGCATTTTAGAGAGCCTCGCAGCACCTCTTGCTGGCATCATGTGCAGTATCTGGAGGCTCTCACGCCTAAGCTGATGAAGTGAGCATCGAATAACTGCTGAACGAACTGTCTCTCTAGTGTCGATTGCCTGCAGAACGCCGGTACGGGCAGCAGCGCGGTAGTGTTGATGCCCCGGAAAACCAAGAAACAAAAGGTTGCGGACAAGCAGACCCTTGAACAGCAGCCGAATGAACAGAAGAAAAGCAGGAAGCAACGAAAGCTGCAACAATTATTGGTAACAAGTTACCTTCCTGGCCGCGCTCGTGTAGCTGCTCTTCCGTGTAACATCTTTTTGCCGCTGTATGCACTCGCATTTACTGATGCCTATCTGTTAACCACCTCATCTGCTGTGCGTCTTTCAGAAAAAGCACAGAGAAAAAGGTCTTAAAGCAGAACTTTCTGAAGAACTGCAGAAACACAAGCTCCCCTCCAGTAAGTTGCTTATCCAAAAACCGAAACAACAATGAGAGGTTTATTAGAGGAGCTAGCGTTCCACTTGAGTGTATTCAAACGGCTTTAGCATTTATCAAGAAAGACTTGCGTGGCAGTAAGGAGAGGCGCCAAGCACGCTGCAACCTCTGATGCTTTCTTGCTGCAGTAGCCGAAACGGGCGCTGACGGGAAGGGTGTTGCAGCAGCAGGAGAGGCGACCTTACAAGCAGCTGTTGCAAGTGAAGAGGTGCAACTGGCGAAAGCAAAGCTGGCTTTGGGAGGGGGACTTTTGCCGGTTCTTACGGGCGTCAAGGGTCGGCGGTTGCTTAAGAAAGCGCACAAGGCCATGCAACGACAGCAGGAGATGATGAGGACGCAGCAGCAACGGCAACAGAGAAAGATAGAAAGGCAGAAGGAAAATGGGCAGCCATCGGCATCTCAAAATCAGCAGCAGCAAAAGCAGCAGACACAGCTCGTGGACCACATGACGTCCACAGAGAGCAAAGACAAAGATGAGCAAAACGATGTGCCCCTTCCTGCTGAGCAGGAACGCGCTGACGCGCCAATGTCGAGCAAGCAGGATGCAAAGAAAAGCAGTGACCACCATGTAGCACCCCCAGCCGCTGGAAAAGGTTCTAGCAGCAGCGGCGCTCCAGTATCTCACGGTCCAATAAAGTCTGGTGCTGCCACAGCCCGTCATGTCGGATCAGGAGCAGCAATGGCAGCCAGGCCTGATAGGAGACCCCATCGAGGAGCTCTGCCTGGCATACGGTACTCGGCTGAGATAGCTAGAAGTCTGCTGCGGCGTCCCCCCGAATTGGAAGCGACGCGCAGCGCCTTGCCGGCAGCAGAGGCGGAAGGCCGTGTGCTTTCCTTCCTGTTGCAACAGCAGCACCCTTCTGTGAATGATGCTGATGAAGTGCCCAGCAGCTCGGAGGAGGAAGCTAATACGGCAGGAGAGAGAGCTTGTAAGAAACGAAAGGCCAAGAAAATGCAGGATTTGTCAGGTTGTCGTCATGCCGATGTCATGTGTGTCTCGGGGGCCACTGGCTCTGGGAAGAGTACTCAGGTAAAGCACACAGGGCTCTGGCTTCCCTCCGGCTGCTTCTAGGGAGGATTGGTATGAGTTGTTGTCGTTAGAGCCCAGGGAAAAATGGGCGTGAAGTGTCAGACAGATGAGGCATTCAGTTAGAGAGAAGAGGGATTGGACAATAGTAGCTACATTCTTACGAACACAAAGGTGTCTGTGCCATGCAATGGTGACCCTATTCTGCCTTTTGGATTTTTTAGCGTATAGTGCTGAAAGTTTGCCTTTTTTGTTCTATTCCTGCAGATTCCACAATTCGTGTTCGAGTCCGGCATCTGTTACCCGTCAATGTTGTTCCCGAAGAATTGCGAGGCGGCTCGCCAGGCGCTTGCTGAGGAGGGCAAGGTGCCACGTGGCGCAAAGGAAGAGGAAACCACAACCACTGCATTTACCGACTCTCCTGAAGGTGAAGCAACAGACATGCAAACGCTTCCTGGTGATGTTACGGCCGAAGAGACTAAGGAGGGGATCCTCGTGAAACGCCAAATGTGCGTGTGTATCACCCAGCCTAGAAGGGTAGCGGCCACTGCGCTTGCCCACAGAGTGGCAGAGGAAATGGGGGCACCAGAACTTGTTGGCTACCAGGTACGCCTGTCTCAGCCTTCGCGTTTCTAGCTTTTCATTTTTCGTGGTGTTTTGCTCTGCCTCATACGTTGCCTGCACGGCTTGAACTGTCGGTTTCCCGGTCTATCTTCTTTTGTATGTTTTTTCCTGCTTGGCCTATAATGGGCTTCTCATTATTATCGCTGGCTAGGGTATTTTTGGTGATGCCAAGCTGGCCTGCAGGACTCAGAATCCGGCTGAGACTCATGAGGAACGAACGAGAAGGTAGACATGTCAGCTACAAACACCCCCAGTGGTGTCATGTGTGCGCATTTTGTAAACGTGTTCCCCTGCTGTGCTGTTGTCAAAGGTGCGCTATGAAAAACATAACGTTGGCCCGCAATGCCGCCTAAAATTCGCCACCGATGGGGTGCTGTTACGCGAGTTGCAACACGACTTTTTAGCGAGGTAATCAAAGTAGGCTGTCTTGCAGACGAGGAGTAATTTGGGGGGAATGCTGGTGAGGCTTTTCCTAAAGTGTTTCGAAGCCCATAACAAGTGATCCAGAAGGGTAGCCTTGAAGCGTACTGGATTTGCGAGTTTGCGGTGTGCTTGTGTCAGCAAGTACTGCTGCATCATCGTGGACGAGGCACACGAGAGGAGCGTAAATGTCGACCTTATTTTGGGTCTTCTCTCTCGGATTGTCGTCCTGCGGAGGGAGCGCTATCGCAAAGGAGTAGATGTTTTGCCTCCTCTAAAGTGCGTTGGCTGCTTCCCGCTATGCTTCCTATTTACCCTACCCTCCAATGCCTTCCACTACACTGCCTGCTGAGTACAGCGGTTTTCTAGAGGCATCGTTTACCACTGTGCGGTGGTTAACTCGGAATCTATGCCTTAGGACACTTTGCTGCTAAGAATTGTGGCCTGGATGGGTGTTTAAATACTTTTCAGGGTGCTAGTAATGTCTGCAACTCTAAACGCTGCAGACTTTACCGAGAACGCACATTTATTTTATCCTTCGCCTGCGTTGTTGAGCCTGGACAGTCGCACGTTTGACGTGCGCATACATTTTAGCAAGAAAACGGCCACTCAGTATGTTGACGCTGCAATCAAAAAGGTTCTCCAGATTCACACGTAAGTAGCCCCCACCGTTTCCGAGAGAGTGCCCAGCGAGAGAACGAGAGCCTACTCAGCAGGCTCTTTTTGACGGCATGCATTTTTCATACCTGCGCCTGTAGCGATCTCTACGCTCATGGTTGTTGCTTTCCTGGTTACTCCTCATTATCAGATGCGTAGGCCCTTACTTTGAGCTGAAATTCTGGGCGTCTAGGTCAGAGTTTTTTTCAATTGAAGGGGAATAATACTGAGACGCAGAGCAGGGCTGGTGGTAGGCTGTGATTGTGCATTTACACAGGCGCCTACCTCCGGGTTCTGTGCTTGTCTTTTTGACTGGGCGCGCGGAGGTGTTAGCGGCTGTACGGCAGCTGCAGGAGTGGCAGCGTCGGCGGGACAGAACATCCAACTTCGGGAGAGCCTGCACTGAAAGCGTTGCTGCAGCTCCTCCCGAGGATGTGGGAATTTCGTGTGAGGAGGATTTTGAGCTGTCAGACCACAGCGATACTGAGGTGCCGTCTCTTGAAGGGACCCCAGACATCGACGTTGACCATGTGCATTCTGTATCCTATGGATCAAGGGATATCTCTTCTTATCCGGCCAGCCATAAGACCAAGATGAAACCCATATTGCATCAGCAGCTACAGCTAGCCCTTGAGAGCGACGCTGAAGAGGATGAGAAACCCCTTGACGACATCAAAGAGGCGGAGGCTGACGTCTTGAAAGCAGTTTTGGCTGGACAATGCTCATCAGTACCCAGTACAGTTAAGAATGATGGGCCCATGAGAGCCCCTGAAGGCTCCGCTCCAGTGTCACCTGTGGCTAGTCAAGAGGCTGTTTCAGCTCATACAAAACCGGGTGTCACTTCAAGTTCTCCTAAACAGGCGACCTCACCCGGCAATTACAAAGCAGATAATGCAGTGCAGGCCTTCGAGTGTCCGGACACAATAAAACGTCGTGTGCGAAACACAGTATCTCCTGGAGGCTGGCTTGGCGCTGGTGCGCGCTTGCTGGAACGTCCAGCCGAAGGAGATGGAATGACAAAGGAAGCACGCACGGGAGGAGACAGAAATGAAACTACAGAGCGACATGAACAAGTGCACCTGGTGCCGCGGCTGACTGTCCTCCCCTTGTACGCCTCACTACCAGGGGAACTGCAGCGTCTTGCCTTTGAACCCCCGGCCCCTGACGAGCGGCGGGTTATCGTGGCGACAAATGTAGCGGAAACCTCAATTACGCTTCCTAACGTGCGGTGAGCTTGATGGTTTGCTTTTCCCCTGCCCACCCATTTGATATACCCTTGTGCACTAAATCACACCAACATGGTGAACAAAGCTGATTATCACGTCTCCCGATTTCATCTGCCGAGCGAACACCCACAGCGCATGTGTGGCCCCATATTAATGTGCTGCACGTACAGTCATACCGTCCCAAAGGTAGTGGAGTCTCTTCCTGCGTTAGCTAAGCAGGACGTATCTAACTAGAGAAACCCTCTGCGTGTCTGTAGAATGCGGAGGCTCACGATGATTCATGAGTTTCGTTTGAGTGCTGCAGATATGTCGTGGACAGCGGACGCGAGAAGCGGCGGGTGTTCTCTTCCGGCTCGGACTGCTTCTCGTACTTCACTGTGACCCTCACGTCTCAGGCGGCAGCACAGCAGCGTGCTGGCCGTGCTGGGCGCGTGGGGGCTGGTGTTTGTTACCGTTTGTACTCTTCTGTCGTCTATCAACATGAGATGGAGGCACATGCGCCACCGCAGATTCACTCTGTGCCTCTCGACCACCTGCTACTCTTCATGGCTGCTCTGGGTGTGCAAAATACTACAATCCCCTTCACCCTCTTCCCATATGCCATTAGGGCTTCCCATGAGACACTACGATGGAACTCAGCGTGCTATTGCCATTTATCTGCTTTCAGGGATTCCTCGTCCCTCAGCTTTTCCCTTCCCCTCCCCGCCCCCTTCTACTGCACTTGCTGTCGCGCGCAACCGTTTAATAGCTCTCGGAGCCCTTGAGCGTAAGGGTAGCGCCCAATCCACTCGTAGCCAGGACCAGAACCAGAAGAGTACTAAAGAACCCGAAGTCTGCTGCTCTGTGCTTGGACGTCGCATGAGCGAATTGCCGATACCGCCGCGCTTCGCAAAAATGCTTCTTTTGGCGTGCTCCCGGTCGGTATTCTTTTTCCTTCTGCCTTCTCCCAGTTATCCCGCCGATATCCTTGGTCAGATGTGATCAGATTTCTCCAGGCCCGAAGGGCACTGAGCCGAAGTACAATCTGTCAGGGTGGATCAATATAGATCAAGTGTCAGGGTGGCCGCTATGTTGTGCTTACGCAGTTTCAAGGAGCACGGTGGACAGTTTGTCGCCCTGGCTTGCTATGTGGTTGCTGCTCTCACGGTGGGAGAATTGCTGCCCTCACGAAGACGCGATGGCTTTTTTGAAGAGTCGGCATTTGGCAAAACATCTGAAGGGGATATGGCCACCCCTAAGGTCCAGAGGCCTTGGGAGGAGTATGATAGCGACATTGATGCTTACATTTGGCTGTGCGGAGCCTATAGCCACTCGCGCCATCCCACTAGCTTTTGCAGGACCTACTGCTTAGACTCAGCACGAATGGCCGAGGTTGGGGCACTCGCCGCGCAGCTGGCTCAGCTGGTCCGTTCACTATTGCAGCGGTCACGCCAGAGCCACCAAGGACTAGGTGCGGGAACACTTGAAAAGGAAGTGGATGACCTACTAGTTTTGAAGCCACCGCTGCGATTGGATTTGCCTGACGTACAGTCAAGGCGCTGCTTACACCAGTGCGTCGTCCAGGGTCTCATAGACCACGTTGCAGTTTGGCAGGACCCCCCTAGACTGCCGGCGGATGCAACAGCTGCCGAGCGTGAGTCAGCTCGTGGAGGGTACCGCTGTGGCGAGCTGAAGGGCCAGCTTGCTCTCATACATCCCTCTTCAAACGTCTTGCACGTCACGTAAGTTTGTAATGCAGAGCCTTATCTGATCTCGAAAAGTCTGGGGCACCAGGGGTGACTGGGGGAATTGGTGGAAGACAAAAGGGCTGTCTATCACCTGTTTCGACGCGCATGTGCATGCTGTCATCTTCTACAGACCGCGCCCTAAGCTTCTAGTGTATAACCAGCTGATTCACGAAGGCCGCGCAGTTTTGCATGTTTGCACCCCTCTAGATGGAGCTGAGCTCAGCGGAATTGATACTCCGATGATTCAACACACCTTCCTCCAAACGCCGGCACCAGCGTATGCTCGCCATTCTGTTCCCTTGTGCGACAGTGATAGGTTGCCCAAGGCAGTTAGTGCTTAGCGCATTTGTGTGGACTTTCCTTTGTAACCTGATGCCTTATCTACCTCCTGTGCAGGTACGATGAGAGAAGAGATGCAGTGGTTGGGTGGACCCGCCCTACGTACTCGCCATTACAATTGCCACTCCCCGCAGTGGAAAGGCCCCTCCCACGCATCCGGGCAAAACACGCCAAGCTCCTTTCACCTCAGGAAAAGCAGCAACAAGAGCAACTCTATAAGTGCTTTGCTGCAGCACTCGTCGCCGGTCGCGCCATACCTCGTCTCAAACGCTTTACTGCTTCGCTTGCAGTCACCCCAGAGGGCATGCTTGCAGGAGACCGTGCGGGGACATTTGCAGTACGCGCCTTTGTAGGCGAACTCGCCATGCGCAATATTGCATCAAGGTACGGCCAACTAACGGCATGCATGAAGAGCTGCTCTGCTCGCACACAACTATCCGTGGCTATGCTTTCTAACCAGTGATCTTTGGCACAGTTCGGCTCAGTGGCTACTTCGTGTTGCAACGATTCTGTTAGCATGTTCCTCAACTCTCCAATCTTGTGCTGGTTTGCATGGAGCTTAGTGTGTGGGCATGTATCTCCCAAAGCACCAATCCTAAGCAGTGAACAGCAATGCCTCTGCGTGCGGGTACTTGGTGGGGCTGCGGTGCACTGCGTTTGTTATTAGGCGTGCTTGTTGTGTCAGGATGGAGCTCCTGAAAGTCTGGAAGACGGAACCTAAGTATCTGTTGGCGGAGTTTATTGGATTGCTGCGATCATACAACTACGAGACGCTTCAGGATGTACGGGATATGTGGCCACCATTGTGAAGTCGCAAGCAGGCTCTTGTAAACGCCTGTGGGCCGCTCGATCAACGAAGAATTGATGGGTCCCTCAAACGTCTACTTATGAACTGTTTCAAGAAATCGTCTCCTAGTTCCCCTCCTTATTCCTTCTAGTTAGTTGCGCCGCCAGAGTTAGCGGAGCACAGCTGCCCTCGTCGCACGGCGGATAGCGCCAGAGTCTGCAACGTGAAAAAAGCCTTGTGAGCTCTCCAAACGCTAGACACAATCTTACTTTAGTTGGTTCCCGATGTACAGATTGCATAAAAGGAGCTTTCCTAGCTAGCAAAGCGCGATATCGGATGTCCGATTGTGGGTAGACACCCGAAAATAGCCCCCAAGCCTAGTTGCATCACCAAGCTGGCCCTAGTCACAACTTTGCCAAATGAAAATACATTTCATGCCATGGGTTCGCTGCATGCCTTCATCAGGTTAGGCATACTACGGTATTGCACATTGGGCTTGAATTACGCCACGGGGTTATCTGTGGCTGTAGATGCCACATGTGCCTCCTTGGCTGCGTCATCTTTTGACTCAGCTGAGTCTCCTGATGGTGTTGAGGTGACGGGTCCGCCTGCATGGTGATAGGCATATCGGGCTGTAAGGGAAAGCAGCTCGTTGAGTCGTGGCAACATCGATTTTGGCTCCTCCATGATACCCGCAGCAACGCACGCATTGTCAAACAGCTGCTCCACCAACAGCTGAATGAAGGCAGCACGCACAAACATTTCGGTTCATACAGTAGGAACCGTAGGTGAGACCATGTACTTACGACACGCATGCGAGAAACGATCAGCCGGATATAATGGCCATAAGCTAATGCTCGTGGACATGCATCCCGCGTGAGCTGCAGAACGCTGTCTACACGCCATCCCAGCCTAGTGCTGGACATGAGCTTGAATAACAGCGTCAAAACAATTTGAGAAACCACCCACAGCCGTACCGTCGCAACATCCGGATTGGTAGTACGGAGATGGTAAAGAGAGGTAACGAGTTCATGAGAAGGATTCAGCTCCAAAGTTGCCGGGAGGCTCGCAATATCTGAGGGCAGCAAACCAAGAAAACGCCACACCAAGGATATCTAGGAAACAAATGCACCTGGCATGGGCACGCAAAAGTAACTTTGCTCTCTCGTCTCGATCCTTTGCCAAGGTTAGTCTTGCTGTTGCAGCAGCAGCAGAAGTATCCTATGGCGCCCCATACGGGATCCAAGAGCGTTCGGCAGGCTCAGAAATGATTTAGGCACTACAGCATGCTTTAAGGCAATTGACGTACGGAGCTGTGCCTCGGGGGCCCCCTGCAGTGTTGCCCGCATCATGCGCCTCAACGTGGGGGAGAGAAAACCAGACACAACTGCGGGAGCAGTCATGAGCCTCTCGGAGAACTTTACTGTCGTTACACGAGACGCCAGCTTCTCCTGAGTCGCACATCGGGCAGGCAAACAACTTCTCTACACCCTCGCCTCAAAATCCTCTAGTCCATTTCAGTGATTAAGCACCGATGAATACATGCTGCTGCATAATATTTGCCCCGAAGAACGTGACTACAAGCACACAGACCTTTACGAATGTGGCCAATTCTGTTTGCTGGGATCCAACTAGCTTAGGCTTCTCCCCTTCTGTCGTTTCCTTAGCGCCGTCATCGTCAAACTCCTCGGGCTCAATGTCTTCCCCTGGTGAGTCAACGGCTACCAGCCGCTTGCCCTTGTAGTCCTGCAGCGCCACAGCCCCACAAGTAACGCCATTGCCGTGCAGCCAACCAGAATGCTGCCAAGTGTGGGGAGCTACGGAGTACACCAAAGCACCGCTGTGTGTACCGTTTCAACGCTCTTGTACGAAAGGTCCCTTAATTAGAGAATGTTAGAGGCACTTGAGGAGCAGTGCGAATTTCACAGAAAAGGGGTTCAGTTGTTACTAGCGAGTGTGCATAGGGGAAGTACACCGATGCAGTGGAAAGTGCCGACTGAAAGTTGCACAATAAAGAAGAAATGTGCAACTGCTGCAGCACCAGAATGGAGCGCATCTGCGTCTAGAGCATAGTGTACTGCCCTTTACTGTGCAGCAATGTAGGCCGGAAACAATGACGCCTGGTGTTTGGGATGGTGATGATCTAACAGCACACTAAAGCCTTTGCTACAGTATATGACGTCATTTCCTAGGTAGCCTAGCACGTCTAGTAAGGCTAGCTTCTCACTAGAAAGAATCTATTCCTCCACCAACATGAGCATACACGATCACTTCACGAAATGGTCGTGTATCCGTAACTCTTTGAAAGCACTGCTGCGACCTGTTTCATATTCGTACAGCACCTCTAGCTTAGGCCAACCATTCGAATAAACAAATGGATGGTCTTCCTGTATGGAAGCATATGAAATCCCCCCACACTGCAGTCGGCTGGAGATAAATACGCGGTGAACTCGTAGCGGATAAGTCTGTTTCAAACGTAGGAATATACACCTCGCGGTATCTAAAAGCAGCTCGCAGGCACCTTTCTTTCTAATAGAGAAAAACGCATTGTGTTGACTTCATCAATCCAGCAAGTATACCTATGGAGCAGGCTCTGCGTGGAGGGAGGAGGGTTTAACCGTGAGGAGCTATTTAACGCAGCACACATGCACTGAAGGTATCTTTGGCTCCCATTCCTCTCTACTTCTAAGAGACCACTCCGGCAACTGTTACTCCAAAAGAGTTCTTACACGCTGAGCAACAAGCAGCCGCAGAGCTGAGTTGCACCACATGCTACAGCTGAACTGCCAATGCAGGACTTCCTCAGGGGTCCAAAGCAGCGCAGCCTGGCTGTCACCAATTGCCCTATTCGAGGACTGTGCATCACCTGCAGGAATGTCTGAGGTTTGAGGGGTCCCCTCAAACATATTTCTCGTATCTGTCTGGTCTGTTGCGTATGCCGTCACTGCAGCCTCATGGCCCCAGCAGGCCGATGCATATGCATCGCCAACGCGTTTCAGAAACTGCGCACGAGCATCCGGTTGCAAAGGTTCCGCAAAGAGCGGCACTTTCTGCGCCCGCTTTCTTCGTTTCTTCTTGCCTATGGGTGGCCTGACAGCGAGGCGGAGCGTCGTGGTGCAACTGCAGGCAGCTGTCAGGTAAATGTGTACGAGCTTTTCGCACTCACTCCACAAAGCTGACTTCCACGTGCATCTTGTCTTTGCCCTGTCATCGTAGGAATCCTCTGAGGCCCCCTTATTGCTACATCTGGAACAGCTGCAATTCCCGCGGGCCTTGGAGAGCTTTCTGCTGCCTGTGGCAATGAGACGACGCTCAAAGGTCCTCCACTCACTACGGGGTATTGCAGTACAAATGGCTGTATTATCCCCGTTGTTTGGAGATGATGCGTGGCTGCTCTCCGGTGGCAGGAGCCCCCTTCTCGGTTGCTGACGCCATTCTGCATTCTTTTGTGAATAAAAGCAATTGCAGACCCTCCCATTCGAAATAGAGCACGATTCAACAGTCTGCCGAGCAAAACATGCGAGACTGCTCGCCGAAATCGCATGACTGCTTTGTTGTATATTCGGCGTCTCACAAACGACACGAGTTCTCCCTGTGTCGGGTGACGGCTTCGATTTCAGCTCCTCCGGGGATACGAATACCTCAGTTGCTGTATTTTTTGAATGGGGATGCGCTCCTGCACTCGGAGCAAGTGCTGATTCTGATTTCAATGTAAGCGGCTGGCTCCTCTGCCCCAGGACTACAGCATCCGGATCCATGAGGCCTGAAAGGTGAAGCGCGTCTTGAAGCAGAGTCTGCAACTCCGCCTTCAGTGCCCGTCGCCGCATCTTTCGCTGTACCTCCTCATGCACTATGTCCCCGTTTACGGACTCCTTACCTGCTGCTAGCTTCGTGGAAGTACCGGAGGCTTCCGTGTTTGCGAACAGCGTTGAGGGTTTTTTTGCATCGGCGCAAAGGTCACCTTGAGTAGTGTCACGCTTCTCCGAGGAGGCGCCAAAGAAGGCCATTAGCCCCACTGCGCGCCAGCGCCACGAAGAAATCTCGCGGCAAATACATGGTACGGGGGATGCCTGCAGCTCCTTCATCAACGGTGCTCGGAGGCCTCCATCGTCCACGTCGTTGTAGAGCCAACAACAGGGTCCTTCCTGCTCTTGTTGTTGCTGTTCTTCCTCCTGCTCTTCATTTTTCTTTGCAGCAAGGACGAGTCGACTAAGGCGCGCAAAAGGGTCACTGATGGAGCCCCTGGTTAGTGGAGCCGCCCCCCACAGCAAATCCACAGGGAGCCACCGCCACTCCGTTGGGGAGAGGTCGAGCTCCTTGTACACCTTCCACCGTTCCGCAACGGCGTCCACAAGGACTCCGCACGTGCCTAGCTGACTGCGTTCGCCAAAAAGCTCAAACTCTTCTTTCGCTGCTTCCTCGGCTTGCCAGCGCCGGTCGTGAGCCTTTGGTGGATGGGAAGCCTCGCACAGTTCCGGCACCCCTTTACCAGATTTGGCCGTTCTTCTCCGCTTCGCGCTAGATTCAAGCTCTCCTTTCTCTTCTACAAGGCCAGCAGATGGCACTAAGTCACATGAATCGACAGGATCTACCAAAAGCTTCGAGATCGGCGCCTTGGAGAAAACGCGACGAAGGCCAGACGCCAGGTGTACGAGGTCTTCGTAGCTCTCGAGTCGATCAAATGACACGCTTCCTGCGTCCCGCCTTGATCGACTGACAGCCAATTCTATATGCAGCCAAGGCTTCGCTGGATGCCGGAGAGCAGACTCGCCTCCCTCTCCACTCTCTTGGTCATCCGCTGTAGCGTTGGCAGCACGAACTTCTGCAACTGAGGTGGCGGCCTCCTGGTTCGGATCCTCAGATGACAAAGCCTTCTTTCTTTCCTTTTCGTCGCGTAAGCTGAACAACACCGCCTCGCGGAGCATCGGCAAGAGGGGCACCGTGCGAGGTCTGTAAAAAGCGCGTGGTAGGTCACAGAAGATTTGGGCATCTTCATGAGACTCGGCTTTATCAGAAGCTCGACAGGAGCACTGTTGATTCACTGAAACGTTGCCGTTTGTCACAAACAGAATGCAGGACTTACAAGAAAGCAGCAACGCGTGGGGCGACGCGCTGGGCGAGTCGCAGCGCAAGGCGGAAGTCCTACGGAAATAATGGAAAATGATAGACAGGGACCTGGAGACCCTTCGACGCAGGTTCATTTGGCATCACTTAAGGGAAACAGCGAGACGGCCAAGTGCTCTAGGGGCCATCACGGGAAAATGGCGTACAATTTGTCCTCCCATTTCGCGTAAGTCAAAGACCTCCCGGGCATTGTATGTAGGGCCTCCCCAAGGGGGTGCCAAGAAAGCCTGAGCGGATAGAAGTACATTCCGTTACGACCCTACACCTTTTCCTCCATACCCGAAGCCGCCTGGCATGCAGGATTGCCTTCTGTGAGATGCCAGCCTTCTCACCCAATCAAAGATGCCCTTGCGGAGCTGGCGCGAGGTGAGCGTTGCAAAGTCTCCAAGGATGAAATCCATACGGGAGGCCACATCACGCCCTACGGCACCGACACCAGAGACACATGAGACACTGTGGTCACACATACACGCACACCCAAACATAGACACTAACATACGCAACTACATGAACTCATACACAACACATTCGCAACCGCCGCTCCGTGGCCTTCTCCGCAGCCAAGACCTGCACGCTCCTCGGCAAGGAGGAATGCTGTTGCTGGTACGAGCCAATACCGAACAGCATATAAGCTCCTCCTATTGCAATTATATGCCAGCAGGGCGTTTAATGAGCTATCCTGACGACAGCCGTTAACTGGACAGTCGAGCTTCATTTTGGATCAGAAAGGTATCAATACGTTGCACCTTCAGCACAGAAGGCTGTGTAATTTCGGCTAGATCTCACCATAAACTGCAGCGTTGGCCTTCGCAAGTCCGATTCGTGCCTTATCGATTTCGCAGGCGAGGACGAATCCACAAGACCTGGCAAAGGCAATTGCGTTGCCTCCAGCCTGAACCGCACAAGTATAATGCATGCATTAAACATCAGCATCCACCACTGGTCTACCCTCACTTAGTATGGTGCCATTGGGGACACAAAGAACTCAAAAGCGAACTAGAAACTAGATCAACAGCAGTATGCCTTCAGCCTAGCACCATGCAGTAAAGAAAAAACAAGCAAGACAGGGTAACGATATCGGCATGCTTACCCCAGCAAAGCCGTCTAGCAACAAATCGCAGGAGCAGCGCTCAGCTGTATGCATAGCGAGCTGCTCTGGAGTAACGGACCACCACATGTCATCATCCAGCTCAATGCCTTCGTCAAACCGCGAGAACAATTCCAAACGGCGGCTATGCCGTTTCCTGAGCGTCAACGCCCCTACCAAAACCCTCTAAGCTTAATAATCACTAAGCGCAGAAACAAGGGAGTCTGATGCAGGCTCTTTACTGAGTCCCACTACATTGGTCTCCTCAAATGTGTTGGTCCGCGTATGTGGAACTACACCCTGTATGTGTTGAACGGTAAAAGGCGATGACTAGCCGTAGCTCCACACAGCAGTCATTCTGAATTCTCGAGCATGGCAACAGAATTTAAATGAACCTCATTCATTACTTGAGCATGCGCATTAGAGAGCTCTGGTAGTCGATTATACACGCAATGCCTCACTCCTGCTCTCCCTTGGAATGTTGGCGTTTTCCCACAAACTCGCCTTCTGTCTCTTGCGGTGGGGTGTAAGCCCAGACCTCCGCGGCGAAGAGGTCTCTAGTTCTTAAAGCTTTCTGCATCTCCACTGCAAACTCTAAAAGCCAGCATTAGCCTCTCAAGGAATCTACGATTTGGGGGCGTACCCGGCATCCTTCCACACGGACTTGGGGACAAGAGCTGTGCGACAGAGACAGTTTCATCGACAATGGATCTAAGGCATTCAGATTCTGCGGCGGATTGGGCCTAGTTTGTTGGTGTATAGAGAGCAAACCACAAACAGCCGGCTGCCAGCGCCCTGACAGTCCGGTTGGTGATGCAGTTAAAAGAAACAGGGATGAATTTCACAGAATAACTAGTTTCTGAAAGCCAATCTAAAGTATTCATTGGACACTTCAACACATTTCCTGTTACGAAGGTACAGCTCTTCACATGCAGCCCGCCCCCAAACCAGCCCACGCATTGGTCCAAGGAACCCAAGTCGATTGTTATTTGGTTAAAAACTGTAAAGCAGCATCATCAGCACAAATCTGAAGTATTTTAATGAGGGTTTAAATATTTTTCAGAGCCGAAGGCACTGAATCTAAATGCGGAAAAGCAGCGTTTGTGGAGCTCGGAGACTCAACCTCACAATACCGAAGTAAGCTTTCACACAGGCCTAGCGAAGGCCATCTGCATTTCAACACTTTGTTGGCAAAAACACAATACAGTAAGGCCTGAAATATTTGAGGCCATAATGCAAAGGTGAATATGCAGGGGTTCTTCCTGTCTCTGGCCATGCTATATTAATACCTCACGATGTGCGCATCACGACCAAATTGAGCGTTGCCGGTGTTCTGCTCCCCTCCCTGTTCGCAACTTTGCTTTCCTGAGAGAACAGACGAAATGCAATACCGGTGCGATTGTTGTCACGGTTCTTGCTAATGATTGTTGAATATACTCATGACCTCAGTTTCGCTTGCACTGCTGCAGGAAGCACGATTAGCGTGCTGTATCCGTATTTAATGGGGCGTGCGATGCATCTATTGTTCAAAAGCAGACATAGCGTTTTTAGCACCGAGCCTCAGTACTTCCGTGCTCCCCCATGCAGTTGTTCGCTGGACAGGTGTGTGTCCTAACTCATATATCATCTCCTTACAGGGCAGGCGACAGAATTCAGCTTGCCTATAGCAGTTAACTGTGTCACTTAACTGTTGGTCTCCTCCATATCTTTTCCATTTCGTATGCTGATTCTATCTGTGTCTCGCTTTCCGTCACGATAGATTGGGTTTCAGGATTTCGTCCCTCGAATGCCAGCTTGTGGTATAAATGCGCACATGTGCAGGACTTTGTACTTTCCTGCGTGGTGTACACTTAAAACCGCTCTTCCGTGCGTACAGCTAGAAGCCTGCTAGCCTGCAGGCTGTTTTGCCGCCGCCATGAAGGTGGGGATTCCTATGTGTCTTCCTCTCAGGTCATGAATGACGTTTTTTTCATTCTCGGCTCCAGTATTATCAAATGTTTTTAAAAGGGATTCATTATTCACAGGTGGACAACACAGCACAAGCAGTCTGTCTAGAGTTCTTCGCGCCCGTATAGCCAAGCAAGCGACTTTGATCGACACGAACCAGCGAAACAACGGTATATATTCGCAAATTTTTTGTAAACCTACCATGAAAGCAGTTTTCCAAGTCACATCCCATTCCATGCATTATATTTGACGTACTGCAAGCTTATGGGCATCGTTTAACACAAGCTGCTTCTTCAACTCCTATACATGCCATAATGCATACACCAGCCCTTCAGATCTGGCTCTTCTCGTTAGCAGGAGATTGTCCAGCGAAAGTGTTTATGAATGCTGGGTGTGGAATTAACAAGGAAACCTTGACCGCTCCCTATAAAATCTCTGTAGAGGGTTTGAACTGCAGACTCGGTACAAACAGAACTTGTGTACTTCTGAAAAGGCTTCTTTTCCCTGCCTGCTCCTTTCAGTTTCCGAGATGAGGGGAGTGTAAATACCTGGGCTGAGCTCAGATGCACTCTGTAGGGACTCCGAACAGTCACAGATAGTTCCAAATAGCGTGTAGAACGTGTGCAAACAATGTTGCGCATTCTTACTCCAGCAAACAACATTCTGCTAATTAGAGGTACCAACAGACCAAGCACCGACTCACTTCTTAATTACTTCCAATAGTACTCTGCAACTTCGTCATAACAGACTAAATGTAAGCCAAACAGTGTTGAAGCGTAGCTTGTTCCTCAGCTGAGCCCTTCATCCGACTGCTCAGAGGTATACGGTCTTTATTCCTGCCTCACATGCAGTAAGGCTTTCGTAAAAGGAAAATAATGATTTTCTTGCGAAAAGTGGCAAAGAGCATGTCCGTAAGATCTTTGGCTCTTGGTTTATTGGGATTAAAGGTACAGGGCGGCCCTCGACGAGCTGTAGCCCGCGCGTATATTTGCATGTCGGATTTTCGATGCAAGGTGGAGGACCGTATTTCAAAATGTGCAGCAACACGTAGAGCTATGGTTCATCTGGTAATTAGAGTGTAAATCACATAGCAGATATGCTGTGCAATTACTCTCATAATTTTGGCTTTGTAGATGTATTTCTTGATGTGGCTTAGTGCTGGATATTCCGCGTATGCTCGGAGCCTCAGGTACGTAAGCGTGCAGTGCGTGGGGGGATATATTTATTAGCAGTTTTGGCGGTGAAATTCGTGGTGCAGTGGCTTTCGAAAAACACAAGCGGTCGGAGCACATCTGATTTATGCAATACTATCTGTGAAGTTCTCGCTTACTTGAAAGCGTCAATTATTTCGTCATCTGGGCGAGAACACGTCCCACAAAATTCCTATTGTGTACACGCAAACAAAAGACGTTTATGCAATATATCAATGCTCCAGTCCTACAGGTTATCCAGATTCAATGTAGTGAACAGCCACCTTTCCCCAGAGAGCTTCCTTGCAAGAGAACAAGGAACCCTGCAGCACTCGTTTTTCCTAAGACACTCGTTCTCCATTGACACCTGATGCAGCTTCAAAGTGAATTATTGTCAGCTTTTTGGGTACCCCAGCACTGTATCCACTGCGTGGGCCGCAAGCGTGAGGCGCGAGACTAGGTCCATGAGGGTTAGCGCCGGAGGATATTATTATATGCTGGTATAGGGAAAGTACATTGGGTCGCAGTTCAGGCCAATGGTGGACGTTTACCATGAGTTTGCGGAGACAGCTCCCCTCAGGGACGCACTTGATTTCGATGGGGCGCACCGAGGTATAAATACTGTGTAGCAGCTGCAAGAATGGCAGGATCAACAAGCAAAACATTCAATCAAGGCACATGGAATTCTGCCGCCTCTCCAGCTGTGCAACTACGCCAAGGGGGATGGCAGCGACGGCATCTGATGAGGACTTTAAGCTGTCAGCCCACAGTGCAAATGAGTCCCTATCTCCTGAATGTATGCTAGCTGTATTCTATAGGTCGACGGATGCCGTTTTCCGGGACTACCAAAAGAATAAAATGCGGCCCCTGTAGCACTAGCAACTGTAACACTCCCTGAGAAAGGACTCTGACGAGGATGCGACAGCTCCCCTGAGGGGGTAGGCTTGCCTTCCTCAGGGAAAAGAATTGTTAGAGGCGGTGTCACAGCTTCGATACGTGCATCCAAGTAGCGGGGGCTGACGAGTGAAAAGCAGGTTCGGCTGTGCCATGCTTACTTCCCAGTACAACTAGGCAATCAGCGGGAAGCGCGAGCCCTTGACGCCTCACCAGCAGTCCCGCATATGTCGAATCTGTGTCCCCTCACTAGAACTTGCTTCACAGTTGCATTATATTGGCGACCCCATACGGGACTCCCGAGGCAGAAAGTTTAGCGCAACGCTATGAACGTAGGTTATTTACTGCCCACTCGTGCAACCGCTGCATGCTGCCCACGTCAGGTAGCACATGGCTTGTTTGTGCAGACCTCGCACAACATATTGATGCCTTACCTACCTCCTGTGCAGGTACGATGAGAGAGAAGATGCAGTGGTTGGGTGGACCCGCCCTACGTACTCGCCATTACAATTGCCACTCCCCGCAGTGGAAAGGCCCCTCCCACGCATCCGGGCAAAACACGCCAAGCTCCTTTCACCTCAGGAAAAGCAGCAACAAGAGCAACTCTATAAGTGCTTTGCTGCAGCACTCGTCGCCGGTCGCGCCATACCTCGTCTCAAACGCTTTACTGCTTCGCTTGCAGTCACCCCAGAGGGCATGCTTGCAGGAGACCGTGCGGGGACATTTGCAGTACGCGCCTTTGTAGGCGAACTCGCCATGCGCAATATTGCATCAAGGTACGGCCAACTAACGGCATGCATGAAGAGCTGCTCTGCTCGCACACAACTATCCGTGGCTATGCTTTCTAACCAGTGATCTTTGGCACAGTTCGGCTCAGTGGCTACTTCGTGTTGCAACGATTCTGTTAGCATGTTCCTCAACTCTCCAATCTTGTGCTGGTTTGCATGGAGCTTAGTGTGTGGGCATGTATCTCCCAAAGCACCAATCCTAAGCAGTGAACAGCAATGCCTCTGCGTGCGGGTACTTGGTGGGGCTGCGGTGCACTGCGTTTGTTATTAGGCGTGCTTGTTGTGTCAGGATGGAGCTCCTGAAAGTCTGGAAGACGGAACCTAAGTATCTGTTGGCGGAGTTTATTGGATTGCTGCGATCATACAACTACGAGACGCTTCAGGATGTACGGGATATGTGGCCACCATTGTGAAGTCGCAAGCAGGCTCTTGTAAACGCCTGTGGGCCGCTCGATCAACGAAGAATTGATGGGTCCCTCAAACGTCTACTTATGAACTGTTTCAAGAAATCGTCTCCTAGTTCCCCTCCTTATTCCTTCTAGTTAGTTGCGCCGCCAGAGTTAGCGGAGCACAGCTGCCCTCGTCGCACGGCGGATAGCGCCAGAGTCTGCAACGTGAAAAAAGCCTTGTGAGCTCTCCAAACGCTAGACACAATCTTACTTTAGTTGGTTCCCGATGTACAGATTGCATAAAAGGAGCTTTCCTAGCTAGCAAAGCGCGATATCGGATGTCCGATTGTGGGTAGACACCCGAAAATAGCCCCCAAGCCTAGTTGCATCACCAAGCTGGCCCTAGTCACAACTTTGCCAAATGAAAATACATTTCATGCCATGGGTTCGCTGCATGCCTTCATCAGGTTAGGCATACTACGGTATTGCACATTGGGCTTGAATTACGCCACGGGGTTATCTGTGGCTGTAGATGCCACATGTGCCTCCTTGGCTGCGTCATCTTTTGACTCAGCTGAGTCTCCTGATGGTGTTGAGGTGACGGGTCCGCCTGCATGGTGATAGGCATATCGGGCTGTAAGGGAAAGCAGCTCGTTGAGTCGTGGCAACATCGATTTTGGCTCCTCCATGATACCCGCAGCAACGCACGCATTGTCAAACAGCTGCTCCACCAACAGCTGAATGAAGGCAGCACGCACAAACATTTCGGTTCATACAGTAGGAACCGTAGGTGAGACCATGTACTTACGACACGCATGCGAGAAACGATCAGCCGGATATAATGGCCATAAGCTAATGCTCGTGGACATGCATCCCGCGTGAGCTGCAGAACGCTGTCTACACGCCATCCCAGCCTAGTGCTGGACATGAGCTTGAATAACAGCGTCAAAACAATTTGAGAAACCACCCACAGCCGTACCGTCGCAACATCCGGATTGGTAGTACGGAGATGGTAAAGAGAGGTAACGAGTTCATGAGAAGGATTCAGCTCCAAAGTTGCCGGGAGGCTCGCAATATCTGAGGGCAGCAAACCAAGAAAACGCCACACCAAGGATATCTAGGAAACAAATGCACCTGGCATGGGCACGCAAAAGTAACTTTGCTCTCTCGTCTCGATCCTTTGCCAAGGTTAGTCTTGCTGTTGCAGCAGCAGCAGAAGTATCCTATGGCGCCCCATACGGGATCCAAGAGCGTTCGGCAGGCTCAGAAATGATTTAGGCACTACAGCATGCTTTAAGGCAATTGACGTACGGAGCTGTGCCTCGGGGGCCCCCTGCAGTGTTGCCCGCATCATGCGCCTCAACGTGGGGGAGAGAAAACCAGACACAACTGCGGGAGCAGTCATGAGCCTCTCGGAGAACTTTACTGTCGTTACACGAGACGCCAGCTTCTCCTGAGTCGCACATCGGGCAGGCAAACAACTTCTCTACACCCTCGCCTCAAAATCCTCTAGTCCATTTCAGTGATTAAGCACCGATGAATACATGCTGCTGCATAATATTTGCCCCGAAGAACGTGACTACAAGCACACAGACCTTTACGAATGTGGCCAATTCTGTTTGCTGGGATCCAACTAGCTTAGGCTTCTCCCCTTCTGTCGTTTCCTTAGCGCCGTCATCGTCAAACTCCTCGGGCTCAATGTCTTCCCCTGGTGAGTCAACGGCTACCAGCCGCTTGCCCTTGTAGTCCTGCAGCGCCACAGCCCCACAAGTAACGCCATTGCCGTGCAGCCAACCAGAATGCTGCCAAGTGTGGGGAGCTACGGAGTACACCAAAGCACCGCTGTGTGTACCGTTTCAACGCTCTTGTACGAAAGGTCACTTAATTAGAGAATGTTAGAGGCACTTGAGGAGCAGTGCGAATTTCACAGAAAAGGGGTTCAGTTATTACTAGCGAGTGTGCATAGGGGAAGTACACCGATGCAGTGGAAAGTGCCTACTGAGAGATTCATTGCGAGAAATTCGTCGATATCCGCAGTCATCAAAAGCACTGGGCGGCCCTTTCCCACAAATGGTTCCATATAAGGAGAAGTGAGCGCTGTCTGCAACACAAGCAATCAACAAGCCATAAGAAGGCACCGCGGCGCTATCGAGGCCATGAGTCTTCAGTGTCGTCCAAGTGCTCCTGAAGTGTACTGAGACATGGTGTTGAGGTGGCCTGTGGAAACTCGCGACTATGCGCTACACGTTGACTGCTGAAACCGGATAGAAGGGCATGTTTTCAAGCCATTAGGGCTGCTGCTTTCACGTTAAACTGTACCTTGCGATCTGAACAGCAGTAATAATACATGTACTTCTGTGTGCTGGGCATCGCCTCCAAGTATTCCTCCAAAGTGATCATTTTGCCGGGTGCTTCCGTCGAGCACTCGAACCTGTGACATTAAAGGGAATATTTGAATTGTTGCAGCGCTTCTGCCACGAGAAGGGCACAATTAGAAATACCATTGTTTTTCCGGGACGTCACGCCCTATCTCAACGTCATTAACGTTTCACCACGGAAGAGAAGCGATGTGTAGTGGGGCGGCGTAGTGTGATGGCTACTGGCTTACAAAGACGTGGGTAGCTTACCGAAGCAGGGGTAACAGCATGTCCTTGTAAACACTACCGCTGTGCGCGTCCTCCAAGACCCCTTCTTTTATGTTCTGCGAGTATTTTTGATAAAATGTCTGATACTTTTCTGGGTCGGATTTAGCCTGCTCTCCACATCAGGGCATCAAAGAATCATTGCAGGCTTGTGCAAAATGCCACCGACCTCATACGCTGTACAAGCATCTGGCCGGTGCACGCATGACGTCTGCAGCTCACTGACAGGCAATAAGCTATGCCCCGGAGAGCAGAGCAAGGATTTCAAGAAGAGAGTATTACGGTAAGGAAGAATGTTAGCTCAGAGCCTCGCAAGCCATAGAAGCGCCCGTCCTACACCTAAGATTTACCTGGTCACTTAAGAACTTCAGGATGCGCTTGACGATGACGGCAGAGAGCTTCCTCTGCAACTGTGAATCTTGCACGTGTTCTCTGCTAACATTTAGGGGCATGTCTTCGCAGTCTATCACACCACGCAGGAACCACAACCACTTGGGTAGCATGTCTGACGCGCTTTTCTTTACCAAGACGCGACGAGAATGCAACGCGACGCCACTCTCTAGAGGCCCCGACTGAAACAAACGATTCGGAGGGTCCGATGGAAAGTACAGCACAGACTGCAAACAACCAGCCAGACACACACTTCCAAATTGCCAGATGATGTCGCACGCTGAGCTATAGGTTTGTAGTTTGAGGCTTTAGACACACAGTCGATCATCGAACACTGGGAAACGGGAAAAGGCCAAGCATAGAATAAATTCAAGACGCACACGAATACTCAGCGGCGCATCCGCAGAGAACATAATGCTATAGATCGGTTCCCCCCAGGATTGGTTTGCAAGAAACCTGCGCGTATCACACAAACAAAGAAGAGGGAACAGCACCCTAAGGGACCCCACGGGGGAGAGAACCAATGAGACACCCTCAACCACCGGGGTTACCACGGTGATTCAAGAGGTTCGGCTGAACGCGCTGATATTGATCTGCATCGAGGCCTCTGTTGAGGTGTGGTAGGCGATGCTTCACCTAAAGAACTGCGTGTGCTCCTCCGGGGTGGCGCTGGATTTGAGCCACAAAGCGTCTTGCGCGGCCACCAGCACTTCCTTGCCGTCCTCTTCAATATACACTGGGAAACTAAGACACAACATACAAGCACAAACGCCCCTCATACGTGTTAATGCTGGGTCTAATGCCATAATACGGGCTGATTAACACATACAGCCGCCGTTTTCACCACTTTTGAATAACTGCTTTTCGCTAGCAACCCCAGGAAGGCTTGTCCGAACAAACCGCGAAGACGATAGGATGCATACGCCATACTGCCGTTGCTTCTTGCTTCTTAAGGGGGCAAAAGAAAAAGCGTGACGCTGCCGCGAAAAGAGGTGCCCTGCCCGAATCCCTAAGGGTTGTGCTGCGGGGCCAACCTAGGAGGATAAATGATTCAGAGGGAGAGGCGGAGGTCCCTCACTTGACAAAGGACGAAAACTTTTTCGCACACTCTTTTACTCTGTGCGGATTTGCGAACTCTGTACATTCTGGTTTCAGGTGGCAGACGACTTTAGTTCCGGTTTCGGATGTAAGGACATCCGGGGAGGCCGGGGAGAGAGTGAACGATCCCGATCCATCGGCGGACCAACAGAAGACCTTCTGCCCCTCAGCCGAACGGCTGTAGACTTCTACCCTCTCAGACACAACGAAACTCGAGTAAAAGCCTACACCAAACTGAAGCGCATCAAAACGAATCAAACTTCAGTTCACATGTTGTAATCCCCGAAAAAGAGAGGAACTCGGCATCTACGGATTCACAACTCTAAAACATACAAAGCCATTTCCGCAGAGTGCAAGATCACAGAAAACCCTGATAAAGTCACTACGAATGCTTATCAAGATAACCTCCGCAGAACCACTGCCAAAATCAAGACAAACAAAAGGCAGTCGATATCCTGTAAATCCTAGGTCCAGTTTCAGCCGTCGGACAAGAACAACGACCGCTCCATGCCGAGCAAAAAATTGAAGAAGAAACATACCTGTCCTATGATATCGTTACCGGCATTAGCTCCTGCTTTTTGCAAGAATTCAAGAGATCCGCTCCTTGCAATGGTCCCTAGATTCTGGAGGATTTCCTCGCGGCTCATTCCTACGCCGTTGTCCTGAGAGCCGCACCAAAAGAGCATCAAATCGGCAACGCTCCCACGTGGAATTATTCCATAGAAGAATGAGGCACTTCTCGCGGCAGCTAGATATTGCTTATCGATTCTGCTGCATAGTTTGATAAAGAATACGCAACGTCCCTCTCTACGAGTGGTGCGCTGTCTACGTCCCCCTCTTCCATTCATCGGAGCTCCCCCATACCCTCTCCATCTGCTTTGCAGATGACAACTATGGATCAAGGTTTACTTCGAAGTGTTAGCGGAGTAGGTTTACCTCAATGATCAGGGTTTTTTCATTGGGGTTTGCCCTGAGAATAACTCGGAGCTCGCTCGGAGCACTGCTGTGTTGCTGCGTGGCCTGGAAAAATCTTAGTTTTTCTAAAGCGTCGGATGCATTCGAAATGAGCTCTCTGATAAACACCTCTTTATCCGTGTACAGAGAATGCGTGACAATCTGCAACAGCTTCTGTGTCTCTGCCTTGAAGTCGTGGCGTTCAAGGCCCTCTGGTGTAGGAGTCGCGGTCGCAGAGCCTGCGCTTGTGGCGAGGCCCCGCAGCTTAGATGGAACTTTGAGCAGCTCACCCCGCCGGGAAGAGAAAAGGTGCGCCTGAACAGAAGTTATGTTGCTAGAAGCCCTACACCTATGCGAGCAAAGCTCCCCCAGCCCTGTTGCACGGCGGGGTACCGGCTGTTGCTTTAGCACCGAGGTGCAGACTCGCCACATTTTGGAATCCTATGCGAAGAGCAAAAGCCCCAAACAGAACATGAGTCGCCCCTGCCCTGGAACCACACAAAAACATGTAAATGCGGAAGTTGCAGCAATATCTGTTGACTCCAATAAAACTAATAAACGAAAATACGCGGTCCACTGACGTGGAAGCCGGGAAGCTGTAGAAGGGTTGTAGCTGCCCGCAGATTACCTGGAGCTCGGGATCGCCAGAGATGACTTGCAACTGTAATGATCAGAAGCCGGAGCACCAGCAAGGCCACGACTGTAAACTGGCTACAAAAGACCTAAATGCAACAGAAGCAGTCTGCTTACTCCACAAAGAACCGGACTGCCTTGTTTGGCTACGCTCCGGCCCCCCAGTGTGGGGCTTGAACAGCGCTGCTTAACTGACAACGTGGGCGTTGAATTACTAAGTTTGTCCTATAATATGCACATATCTAAGTATAGTGACATCTTTGCTCTTCTGCAGTTGCTGAGGCCCGATCGGAGTTCTACTCATAACCATATCCATGGGTGGAGCTTCCCGTATTCGCTTCAGGTGTTCTGCCCTAGGCAATATACAGACCCACCAAAGTTACGCGAAAGCGCGTTTATCGATATTCCAGCTGAAGTCAATGGATTATTCGTTCGATAATCTAGTCTATATGTAGCGATGTGGTCCAGCTCCCTGCTGAGTTCATACACTTGTGCAATGCTCCATTTAAGGTCTCCAGGAAGATGTGTTACTCCAGCCATGGTACAAACCTAATAGACAGCTATTGGGCGCTGATTAACATCGCTGCCTCCTTTTCCTGCTTTGGTACCTATGACCTTCTGTATGGGGGGAGAAGCTTTGTCCTTAGAGAATGTTGCGCGTCATTTAGCGCGCAGATACACAGCAATCCGCCTTTTTGCGTTAATCTAAAGCAAGTACGCAATGAACTAGGCACGAGAATATTTTGAGAGAAGTCAACGCTCGACCATTTCATAATTAACTATAGCTAGGCACCAGGAAGTGCCCAGTTGTGGCTATACCTGTTACTTCTTCCCCCGAATTCGAACAGACGCCGACAATCCTCGCATGTGTCCTTAGACACAAAGCGCAAGCACGGTAGTGAAATATTTGTGAACCTATCACTACTCCGCAGGCAGGTAGAGGGTCCAAAAAAGTGTAAGGGAAGAATGCAAAATCTGTACAAATGTAGTGGAATCAAGGGGAAGGAAGGCTAACACTAGCGAACAATGAACAGGGAACCATACGAGCACAGCTAAGGGAGCGCGATGGCATGGCGTCTTTGGAGCATCCAAATATTTGTGTCTCCTGCTCCAGAAATACAGAACACAACTACCATCTGTAAGGGGCACTAAGCTTACATTCACGTGCAAACACAGCTGGTGCACACAGCAGAATCGACTTCAAAACCCCTAAACCAACAAAAAGGGAGAGTAGTGAAAATAAGTACTGGCGTGCTATTTTAGTTGACCCACAACATTTGTGTCGCCTCTGTAAAGACAATGTGCTGAATAGCGTCATTTTGTCTAGGTTTAGTCGTAAGTTAGTTTTACTTCGTACATGTCTAGGCCGATAGCACAGTCAAAAGCTGTACCAGCTAAATGTTCAGATTGTTGGTTGGCTCACTAAAAAATATGCTTTATGGGTTGAGTTATAAAAATGGCTTCTGCACTCGCCATTGTGACAAGAGACTATATAGGTCGTAATAGCTTACGGCAGCCTCGCAAAATGGAGTGAGTGATGCTCGTGTGAACAAGTGGCGTGCTCGACTACAAGCCGCTGGATTGAGCCATTGAACATACATGTGACCATGCCTGATTTCTTCACTAGACGACCGAAATGATGCGCTTGGCACTTTTTGCGACAACATTGCTTTGGGGACTACCTAGAATGAAATCAGCCTACAGCTGCTATACAGATACTATGCTTGATTGGCTTGCAAATATCTACTGACCTGCGTTGGATTTCCTAGTTGCAGGTCGAAGTGGTATGGCATGCATGCGAATACTTAGACACGAACTGCATCGAGGTGCGTCCCACACATGTGGTGACCCTCGCTTGCCTTTGCTACCGGCTCAGTTAGGCAGACCACTTTACACTCTATAGACTCGGCAAGAAAGCATGTGTCAAGTTCGCCGATTAGGTCGAAATCTGCGGGAATGGTTTAGGGTTTAGGGTTTAGGGTTTAGGGTTTAGGGTTTAGGGTTTAGGGTTTAGGGTTTAGGGTTTAGGGTTTAGGGTTTAGGGTTTAGGGTTTAGGGTTTAGGGTTTAGGGTTTAGGGTTTAGG